ATTATAAAAAATTGCTTACAAGGACTGACATATTTTATAGAAATAGTTTCCTTTCATTTTGAAGTAATATTAAAGTATTTGGAAGAAAAAAGTTGACAAATTATGCAAAATCATGCACCTTCTACTTGCTTGTACAATTCTCCTCCGTTACTTTTCCCTCCGTTACCATGACCTTTCTTAATAAAAAATCTCATGAGTCAAAAAGTAAGAGGTTTTTCAACCTAATCTTGTACCATATGGTAGAAAACTATATGAAGCAAATATTCAAACCAGTTTGTTAAGGATATGTAAGTGAGAACCAAGCTAGTTATCACTGTTTGGATTTATTGCCCAAAAAGTGCTGCATATTTCATTCCCTCCGTTACCGACATGAGTTTTTTGATTTTTGTCAGCAACTTGAAAGAATATCACAGGTTTAACTTGACCCTGTTGGAGTGTAACTCTTTCCTACATTCTGATACTTTACTTATTTCAATAGTCCCTCTAGTTTCTGAATAAGAGACATTTGAATGTAAAAAAATCTGCCTGTTTCCCTCCTTTACCACTTGACCGGACCCTTTTATTTGTCTTGAAGGAGGCCTAGTTCTTTTGTGTTTCTATAGAAGTGTTACTTTGGCTGTACTATTCCACAGTATGGTATAAAACATTGTTTCCCAAAGACTGAGTCGCAACCCTCAGGTGGGCTGCAAGAGATTTTTTTGGGGAGTCGTCTTGTCACGATCTCCATGTAGATCTGTAATATACAGTTCTGAATTCATGTATCATTCATTCATTCGTTTTTCGAAATAAAACCAAAAATAAGAAAACAAAAAATAACTGTTTGTGGGCCATTATCCGTTTTTTCCATTATTCATTTAAACCAGGGGTGTCCAAACTTGTTTCATCAAGGGCCACATATCTAAACACAGACGAAGCAGAGAGCTGATTGAGAGCCGCAGACTGGTGCTCAATACAGTGAATAATTGAAATATGTGCATGTTTAACACGTTGGAATGAGTCATCAGTCTTTATTCACGCTAAGATCCTTAAAACCACACACTAAATATGAAATATTAGCTTTAGCAAGGTAGATTTTCAAAAAAATTGCAGTAAAAATTATTTTGTAATTGATGCAAGGTAATTTGGGCCAATTCAACTGGATCTGTGAGGGCCAAGAAAAATTTGTCTGAGGGCCGCATTTGGCCCCTAGGCCATAGTTGGGACATGCCTGATTTAAACACTAAATCGAAAAACTGCAAAAACAAATCGTTATCTGTTTTTTCATTTTGGTTTTGGAGACAAATAATGAAGAAAACTGTCATTTTTTTTGTTTTCTTATTTTGGTTTTATATTGAAAAACAAATGAAAGAATGACACACGGATTGTTCTGGCACATGAGATTATCTGTGCTCACAAAAATGCAAACAAAGTACAGAAACAAACTGAATGCAGCGCCTGATAAGCGTGTTGTGCTCTCCGCCTGCACTTGGACTGGAAAGTGCAACAAAAACACAGACAGGCCCACATATCTCATTAGAAATATTGAAATGTTAAGACTTGTTCCAGTGCTGCTGGTTCATTTGAATGTTGAAAAGAAAAAGAAATGAGCTGCATTTATAGGTAACTTATGAAGAACTTTTATTGCTGGTTCAGTTACTGTTTTTCATTGTTTAAAACTTGAGTAAGACTAATTGTTCAGAGACACGATCACTCAGTCAACAATAAAATATCCTCATTAATGTTCAATAATGGTCAAATCCACCTTTATTTTGTGATTTACGAATAATGTCTATTAACTTCGGTCGCGGAGGTTTGTGACTTTTAAAATATGGGTCCCCAGAAAAAAAGTTTGGGAAACATTGGCTTCAAATGTATCTATCTCCATGGGGAATGTTCTATTTACATGTTATAATATCGATCTGGAAAAAAAAAAAAAGAAAAAGCGGAGGCAGATTTCAGGGAGTCAGTTTAGTTAATCTTGAATAAGCCTGATGATCCTGAGTTATTCTGAGCTCTAAGTCTGAACAGGGCACGGTGCCAGTCTGTGACCTTTGACCTGCCAATTCAGGAGCGTGCACGTAGAAGTGTGCACGTGCATGTGTGTGTGTGTGTGTGTGTGTGTGTGAGATGAGGTAACTTTAGATACATTAATCTGATCAGAGATTCTCAGAGCCTGAACCTGAACTGTCCACGTGAAAAGAGCTGCATTTAAAAACCTGCTCAGATTTCAATTTAAAGATGCACTGTGGAACTTTTCTAGTGGGAGAACTGCCACTTGTTGTGATCTTGTTGCTTTCATTGGAATGAACTGATCCAATTTCAGTTGTGTGTATTGATAAAAAGCTTCTCCACAGATTTGTTGTAACTTTGCCTGTATCACAATCTTGTTTCCATGGAGATAAATACATTTCACGGCACAAAAGTTCCACAGAGCGGCTTTAATCCGATTGATATAAATGATGTAAAAGACTGAAGTGTTGTTGGTTCAGAGGTCGTAGGTCGTAGAGTCGAATCCCGTTGACCTCGTTGCCCTCTGTTGTTGCTATAGTAACGTGTTTGTTGTTGTTGACTGTAACAGGATTGGTAGGTCATGTGACACTGCACGCCCATTAAACCTGCACCAGACAGAGAGAGAGAGAGAGAGAGAGAAGGAGGGAGAGAAAGAGAGGGGAGGGGGGTAAAGAGGGTGAGAGAAAGATAGAGAGGAGGACATAGAGAGATAGAGGGAGAGAGAAAGAGAGGAGGAGAGAGTGAGGATAAAGAGGGAGAGAGAAAGGAAGAGAGAAAGAGAGGAGGGAGGGAGAGGGGTAAAGAGGGAGAGAGAAAAAGAGAGAGGAGGAGAGAAAGAAAAAGATAGAGAGGGGGACATGGAGACACGGAGGGGGAGAGGAGGAGAGAGTGAGCAAAGAGGCAGAGGGGAGGAGAGAAAGAAGGAGAGAGAGAGGGATAGGGAGATAGAGGGAGAGAGAAAGAGAGGGGGGAGAGAGAGGGGGTCAAGAGGGAGAGAGAAAGGGAGTGCAGAAGAGAGAAAGAGAGGTGGGAGACGGGGGTAAAGAGAGAGAGAGAAATAAAGAAATAGAGGAGAGAAGGAGATAGAGAGAGGGACAGGGAGAGAGAAAGCAAGGAGAGAGTGAGGGGTAAAGAGGCAGAGGGGAGGAGAGAAAGAAGAAGATAGAGAGAGGAACGGCGAGAGGCAGAGGGAGAGAGAAAGAGAGGAGGAAAGAGTGAGGGGTAAAGAGAGAGAGGGGAGGAGAGAAAGAAGAAGATAGAGAGAGGGACGGCGAGAGGCAGAGGGAGAGAGAAAGAAAGAAATAGAGGAGAGAAGGAGATAGAGAGAGGGACAGGGAGAGAGAAAGCGAGGACAGAGTGAGGGGTAAAAAGAGAGAGGGGAGGAGAGAAAGAAGGAGATAGAGAGAGGAAAGGAGAGATAGAGGGAGAGAGAAAGAGAGGAGGGAGAGGAAGGGGGGAAGAGGGAGAGAGAAAGGGAGAGCGGAAGAGAGAAAGAGAGGGGGGTAAAGAGAGAGAGAAAGAGAAAGAAGAGGATAAAAAGAGAAGGTGATAGAGAGAGGGACAGAGAAAGGGAGAGAGAAAGAGGAGAAGAGAGTGAGGGTAAAGAGGGAGAGGGGAGGAGCGAAAGAAGGAGACAGAGAGAGTGACAGGGAGAGAGAAAGAGAGAGGTTGAGCGGTGGTAAAGAGGGAGGGAGAAAGAGAGAGAGTAGAGAAAGAGAAGAAGATAGAGAGAGGGACGGGGGGAGGGGGGTAAAGAGGGAGAGAGAAAGAGATAGAGGAGTGAAAGAGAAGGAGATAGAGGGACAGGGAGAGACAGAGGGTGAGAGAAAGAGAGGAGGGAGAGAGAGGGGGTAAGGAGGGAACGAGAAAGGGAGTGCAAAAGAGAGAAAGAGATGAGGGAGAGAGGGGGGTAAAGACAGAGAGAGAAAGAGAAAGAGGAGAGAAAGAGAGGAGGGAGAGAGGGCCGGTAAAGAGAAAGACAGAAAGGGAGTGCGGAAGAGAGAAAGAGAGGAGGGAGAGAGAAAGAGAATGGGATAGAGAGAGGGACAGGGAGAGAGAAAGAGAGGAGGGAGAGCGGGGGTTAAAAGGGAGAGAGAAAGAGATAGAGGGGAGAATGAGATAGAGAGAGGGATAGAGAGAGAGAAAGAGCGGAGGAGAGAGAGGGGAAAGAGGGAGAGAGAAAGTGAGAGAGGAGGGGAGAAAGAGAAGGAGACAGAGAGAGGGACATGGAGAGACAGAGGGAGAGAGAAAGATAGGAGGAGAGAGTGAGGGGTAAAGAGAGAGAGAAGGAGATAGAGGAGAGAAAGAGAAGGAGATAGAGAAAGGGGTAAAGAGGGAGAGGGAAGAAAGAGAAGGAGATAGAGAGAGGGACAGTGAGAGACAGTGAGAGAGAGAAAGGGAGTGCGGAAGAGAGAAAGAGAGGAGGGAGGGGGGGCAAAGAAGGAGAGAGAAAGAGGGAGAGGAGAGGAAGAGAAGGGGATAGAGAGAGGGAAAGGGAGAGAGAAAGCGAGGAGAGAGTGAGGGGTAAAGAGGGAGAGGGGAGGAGAGAAAGAAGGAGATAGAGAGAGGGGTGGAGAGACAGAGGGAGAGAGAAAGAGAGGAAAAGAGAGTGAGGGGTAAAGAGGGAGAGAGAAAGGGAGAGCGGAAGAGAGAAAGAGGAGGGAGAAAGGGGGGTAAAGAGAGAGAGAGAAAGACAAGGAGATAGAGAGATGGACAGGGATAAAAAGGGAGAGAGAAAAAGAGAGGAGAGGAGAGAAATAGAAGGAGATAGAGAGATGGACCTGGAGAGACGGAGGGAGAGAGAAAGACAGAGCGAGGGGGGTAAAGAGAGAGAGAGAAAGGGGAGCGACGGAGGGAGAGGAGTTTGCAGGATTAAGTTTGTAAGTGTCCAAAGTGCATGAGTGTCTGTAAATCGAGCTCTGAGGAAGTTCATGGGGCTGTGATCTGTGTATCTTCTGCTTCTGAGTTGTAAAAGTCAGAATAATCATGTTTTTGTTGTGTTTCCTCCTCAGAGACGGCTCCCAAAGTGTTCGGCCTGCCTCTGTCCCAGGTCATCGCCAACGACCGCGCTCACAAACGCAGACAGGACGAGCTGAAGGAGAGCCGCAGGGACTGTCTGGATCTAGAGGCCAGCGTGCTGCGCTTCAGAGCCCAGAAAAGGCTCCTGTTCTCGGGCAGCAGGCCTCTGATGAACCCCCCCTTCAGTGTGGCTCCTGCGTCTCCCTCCGCCAACTCGGTGGCACCCGCTCCCTTCTGCGACAAACCACAGTCGCCCACGTTTCTGGACAACAGCGGGAGAGTGCAGCGCAGGGTAGGGCATCTGCTTTAATTTAAGAATGTGTTTATGCTGCTTCGGCCTGCACTGCAAAAAGCAATGTCCCGGTAATTTAAAATGACTTAAATTAAAAACATTTGACTTTATTTGAGTGGATTTTAAAAGGCTCATGCAAAATCAACTTTTCAGAGTTTTCTACCTTCTAAGAGTGATGTGTGGGCCTTGTATATGTCGCCGAAGTGTTTTTTAGATTGATTTGGTGTTTTTTTTTTACAAATTGCAACGTATTTCTGCCACCCTCCCACATGACAACAAACTAAAGCTGCTACAACGATGATGTGGCAGCTACAACTATGACGCTTTGACGTAGCACCTCCACCGCCTTCACCCCACATCGGCTGACAATTCCCACATGAACACCTAAACAAAAGCGACAAAAAATTATTCTATCAACACAGACATTCACATCAACAGTCTGGCGTAATAATAAATTTGCCTTGAGTGTTTTGTGAAGTGGGTAAGACTGTTTTTAGTGGCAGGCTAACTATGGCCATTGACATGCGCTAGCCTAGCACCAGCGACCTCTGCAAATACAAGGACTGGATGGATTATTTCAAAAAGTATCTCCACACATCTACAGTGCTCTGGCTCACTAGAAAATGAGGCCCTATGTCCAAAATTAAAATTGTCCTTTTAAGTTCTCATTAGGCTATTATGATTATTTCCAAACATCTACGCCTTTTGTTTAAAAGAGACGTCAATAAATGCACTGACAGGATTTTGAATGTTAAAAACTATAATACCAAACCATAAGGTGAGTGGAAAAGGGTTAACATTTCATATTTAGGATAGTACATTATACTATTAGGATAGTACATTATACATAGTATAGATAGTACATAGTAGTCATCGACATTGCGCAACTCTCACCTGGCAAAGCTTTTTCCCACTGGACACCAAAACATCTACACATGTAGGCACTGTAAAATAATGGAAAATTCATTTTAGGTCATGAAAAAGTCATGGAAAAGTTTTAAAATTTTGTCAGTGAAACATTTTGAATTTACCTATTTATGAATAAAGCAACGTAACCAAAGTTGCTATAGTATTTATCATGACCGGCCTGGTGCTCTCTGCTGGTGAACTGTGATGTTTTACTTATCTTATACTTTTGTCTTATATATCTTATACTTCTACTTTTTTATATACTTTTATCTTGTACTTTTGAGCTTTCATTCTGATCATTTGCACAGTAGCTCACAGTAGTCTAAGTCTGCGTCTGCTTTCCCCCCCTGTAATAACCCCAAGTTTAGCGGTAACATCCGAGATATAATCCAACCTGTTGTTGTGTCCATAGGCAAGACACTACACCCACATTGCGTAGTATGAATATGATGTGTGAGGGAGGGGCTGATGGTTCAGATTGGCGGCCTCACTTCCTTCAGTCTTCCCCAGGGCAGCTGTGGCTACAATACAAGTTTAGAGTAGTAATCATTTTCAAATGTACTATCCAAAAAATGACACTGGGTTGTATATTTTGTTTATTGATTTAAGTTATTACATTTCTTGTCCACTTTTTTTTTTTTTTCCAAACATGTCGTGTTAAAAGACTTAAATTTACACATTACAACAGAAAAAAAAAAATCCACCATTAACTCTTTCCTCCATTAAGACGACATTTGTATTCTTAATGACGTGTTTTGACACCTCCGCTGTATCGCTAAAGACGTGATTTGACGACCATTAGAAACGGCTCGGTTTTTCACATGTAAACAGAGACTGTGATAGGTGGGGGCCACTACAACCCACACTAGACTGACCAATAGGATTCAAGGATACGTTTTCACTGTTTTTTTCTGAAGTTAATCGATGTGGTGATGATTGTAGCTTCCGTAAAAAACACAACACAAAACACGTACAATGGAAAGATTGCGGCGCTATGGTGCACAGTTAGAAATAATGAGGAGCAGGTGTATTTTAGGGATAAGTTGAGAGAAAGTGACTTTTATAGATTTCAAAGTGATGATGAAGTTGATTATAAAGTGGAAAACAGAGATAGTGATGGACTTTCAGAGAGTGAAACTTACGAAGGTGATGCGTCTGTGTGGAGTCCTGCAATATCCAAACAAACTATCGGGGACTTTATACTCGATTATGAACCAAAATTGCCCTGAAATCTGGATGTTGCTCAGACGAGTCCTTGGAAATATTTCAGTCTTTTATTCCAAGATGCGATGTATGACAGAATTTCTACAGAAACAAACACTTATGCGGAGCTCTGCGCACGAGAAAGTGACCCAGATGACAAATACTGAACACCCACTGACGGGGAAGAGTTTCATTATATTATTATATTATAATAAGCTAAATGAGTTGAATAAATTAAATGGAAAAAACGAATGACACAGGTGTACAACAGGTAAAAACAGGTGTACACTTGGCTATACTGTATCTGGTGGTTTAAATACTCGGTAACACTTTATAATAACTACACCTTATTTAGCCTTAATAAAGCATGAACAAAGACTTAATTAATAATGATTCACGCTTAGTAACTACTTAATTACTGCCTTAATTAGCACTTACACTTAATTTGCCTGTGCTCTAAATAGTTACTTATAATTATTTCATACTTAATTACTCATGAACTAACCATTTGAGCATTTATTAATCATTAGTAAACTATGAGAGAATGATTTACTAATCATGCAATGCAAGATAATTCAGGCAGCTGTTGTCTGTTAGTTAAGTCTTTTTGAGAGCTTTTCTAAAGTGAAGAATAATTATGCTTTATTAAGCATTTACTAAGCGTGAATCATTATTAATTAAATCTTTGTTCATTATTAATTAAGTCTTTGTTCATGCTTTATTAAGGCTAAGTAAGGTATAGTTATTATAAAGTGTTACCAAATACTCTGACAAATATATATATATTTTAACATGTTTTAAATGAATATAGTACTCAGAACATATATCATATATCAGATGCTGAATGTAGTTTTTTGCACCTGACCAGGTAAACTGTCATATTCAGTGAGCTGTTATATACCTTTAAATGAGTTGAATCACATTTAAACATCCATAAATGAAGAGTTCAGAGTCTAAGGTTTCCAGAGATACAAATATGTCTGTGTTTCAATTAAGTTCATGAGTGTGAAAATCATTATATTCACTCGTGGAAGTCCGTTTCCTTTTATGCAGTTGTGCTCTATGGGCAGCCCTAGTCATATATGTGGGTTGTTCTTAGTAGGTGTCCAAGGGGGAAAGAGTTAAGTCAACTGTATCTGGGATCTGGCATGTTGTTTAAAAACTGTTGAAGTATGTGTTTTCTTCTCTAGTGTTTTGACTTTTGACCTTTCCTCATGCTTGTTTTTCTGAGGGCGACATAACCGTAAATCTCCTCCTTAAATCTCACTGTGTTTCGGTCAGAACTCGAGATAAGCCGTGATATCTGACTCCCTCCCTGAGTTTTACGGATATCTCAAACACTTTTTCACATTTTTATGATTTTTATTTGATTTTATCGTCCGCAAACGCGCCTCGTCTGCGGTCACGCCTCTGGGCCTGTCTCCGCTCTGATCCACGGACTTTTGGAGAGGAGAGTTTCATTTTTCTGTTGCTTAAACCTAAAGCCCTAAAGTTATTGATTTGTGACGTTCCACAGCATGGCATTAATCTCTATGGAGAAAAACAACAGGTAAGATCTGTGAACAGGCAACCCCGCTCATAGTAAGAACACATGTTTTTAAGGTAGTTTTCAACCAATAAAGCTACTGTAACTGAATAAATGGATCCGTTTAATGCCATACTGTGGAATCTGTCTATCCCAATGCAAATGAATGGTAAAGCAAGTCTCTATAAAAAATATTCAGCTTTATAAACGGTCATGGGCCTGGACATCCACTGCTTTCCACATAGGAATGGGGTCAAAGTGGTTTCTTGGAGCTCTAGTTGGATTCTGACCTTAAAACGTTCACTTTAAACCACACTACATGATTCTGGAGTTTTTGGTTCACTTATTTGTCCCTAAATTAAAGGGCCACTAAACATCAAAATCACTTTTTTATACTAATTCTACTTATTTGGGCATTTTAGTACATATTTGTTAATCTGACTTTTGGATCAAAAGTGTCTGTAACAGCCTCTTTTGGGTAAACTACAGCACATTAGAATTTTCTGGATGGACTAACGGCCGCCAATCAGTCAGATGCAGGGTTATAACATAAGGAACCCCTCTCAACCCTGCCCTACCTGGCACCGCTGGGCACCACGATGTCCCGCTGTGTCTGGGGAAAATGGAAACGGCGTGATCCGAGCACAAATGTCCGCTCTGTTTCAAAGTCCGGAGAGATCTGAGAGAATAAAGAAGGTTGTCGATTGGGGATGGGCATCATCAGTCGATTAAACGATCAAGAATTTTGTCGATTATGTTCATTCTTAATGGACAAACTGAATGTAAGTTGCTATGCGTAGCGTAGGGTGACCACATGTCCATTTCTCCCCAGACATGTCAGTTTTCCACATCCTGTCCTGGTCCTCTGGGTTTTATTTAAATAAAGTGATGCAAATGTCCGGGTTTTCATGATCTTTCATTGGGCCATTAAACTAAAACTCTCTGCACTCAGAAGGAGCAAGCAGACATAAATAGTCGGTCAGCCTGCAACGTGCCGAAGCGCAAATGCGTATTTAACGATGACTTATACAAGAAATTCCCCGCTTTTTGTCCCGGTCAAGACAAGTGGGAGCCATGTGCACAGTGTACAAAGCAGGCACATATGTTTCGGTGTCCAGTGGCAGTGTCAGGGACCTCAAAGTTCACCAGGACACCGAAAAAAACATTAAAAAGCTTTGCAAGGTGAGAGTGGCTCAATGTCGATGACGAGGCCCCACTCCCCACCTCCTGTACGGTGTCCTGGTTTTGACAAATGGAAATATGGTCACACTAACCTGTATTCCACTGAGTCGTGTCCTTTAGTCCGACAGAAATTTATCGCATCAGCGCACAAGAGCAGTTTTTTTTTTCTTCGCTTAATTTATGCAAATTTACCATGCAGTTTTGTTTTTGTGAGACTTGCGCAAAACTGCATTATAATGTATTAAACACATTCTAATCTCAAACGGGCTGATGTAGCTCTATAGTACTTACGGTTTGTTTATATGTCGTAAAGTTGAATTTATTTATGCATTTATTAGTAGTGCAGAAAGTAATAATAATGATAATTTCAATATAAATATGTTAATGATTAATCGATAATCGATTGTTAATCCTCCCGACGATCGATTAAGAAAATTTTATCGAATGCCCATCCCTACTGTCAATCATCGCTCCAGAGCCCGTCCCACACCCGCTCCCCCCAGATCTTGCTTAGGGGCGGAGTAAAGCTTCAGAATGGGTTTAATGGTTCTTTAAAATATGTTTGATTGACAGAGTTGCTAAATGCCAACCTCGCTGAAAAACCAGTGACATGAGTACAAGGGGGCGTGTACCTTCAACAGCCTCGTTCCTGATTCCTCTTTGGTTTTCACGCTCTTATCTTCTAAAACTTAACATTTTGTGACAGTGTTTACTAATGTGTGCATTGTGTCACCATGGTAACTGTTGAACATTCCACCGTAGAGAAATGTCGCTTTCTATTGAATCTTTCATTGGCAGTGGATAAATCTGAGTCAGTCTCTTTACATCTGTTATAAATGTGTTCCATTGCAAAAGTTGGAGAAAATATGGATGCCCGAGGAAGTTTAATGTAACATCAACATCTTTTTTTTTTTTTTTTTTTTACTTTTTTTTTTTCTCCATTCAGATTTTTGCCATTTTTGAGCACTAGTACAGAGTATTAGTGACTTGCTCCATAACCCGTCAAATGTTTGGCGACATGCGGCTGTTAGCTTTAGCGTTCGTAATTAGCAGTTGTAGTCTGTACTTCTCCAACACTGAGCTACAGTTATGTTAAGCTGCTAATACCACCGAGAGACGTGTCATTTGTGTATCTGCAGCGCTACATGACCCAGGAACCAATCAGGCATTGGAGAAACAGTCATGTGACGCACCAAAGTTGTAGTTTAGGTTTTCTGTGGGTTTGAAAGCTTCAGACGTATGATCAGCTGACACAGTTTCAGCCTAGAAGATAAAATTATTTAGTATTAAGTTATAACACACGTATCAATATCATACATTTTGTTCATTGTAAACCACAATATTGATCTGAAACACCTTAAAACAGATCCACTGACTTCCTGATTATTATTTTTAAATAATAAACACAGTAAGCAAAGAACAGTGAGCAGCTATAGGGGTGAAACTGGAACTTTTCTTTTGAAATGAAATCTACTTGCAAATGTGATGTGCATGCGGCGCTTTGTTGTCATGATGTTTACAGTGACGTCAGCTCCCACTGAGAGCTGCAGTTTTCTAAGACAGAAGTTAATACATGCATCATGAATTTCGGACTTCCGGTCATTGTGCAATGCACAGTGGGGAGAATTTTTCGAAAAAGCAACCATCAAACTGCCATGTTTGTTTTCCCAGTGGGATGCGTCTATTGACAAAGCCAGTCTTTTCTAGTCTTTTGAACCATATCACTTTTATTTCTGGCTCTGATATTGTCATATTTTAGTTTTGGGATTCGGACATTATAATTGTGTGGTTGTTGGATCCTAACAGCGGAAAACAGCTTGAGAAATGGGCTTCGGAAGTTTGTGAACACCATAAATACAAAAGGGAATCAGATCTGTGTAACTGCAACCTTCCGTTCAAACTGTTTCCCTTCCCAACAGAATTGAAAAATAGTGAAAGGCGACGGCGATGAGCCATACTGATACTCAGGAAGGACGAAAAAGGAAACATTTGACTAAATCATCCCGTGTTTGCAGCGATCATTTTGTATGTGGGAGAGGTTTGCAGTCACACACATCTGATTCCCTTTTGCAGTTATGAAGTTCGTAAACAAATTTCTCGAGCCGTTTTCCGCTGTTAGGACATCCAACAACCACACAATTACGATGTCAGAATCTCAAAACTAAAACATGACAATATCAGAACCAGAAACAAAAGTTATATGTTTCAAAAGACTAGAAAAGACTGGCTTTGTCAATAGACTCATCCCACTGGGAAAAGAAACATGGAGGTTTGATGCTCACTTTTTCGGAAAATCCTTCCCAGTGTGAATTGCGCAATAAGCAGAAGTCCGAAATTCATGATGCATCTATTGACTTGTTTCCTCTTTGTTTTAGATGAATATTGAGATTCCAAAATAAAACATATTGACCCACGGGTGTCATCGATTCTAACTATATGGCAGACACAGGCACAATAGGTCATCTTTAAAGGTGCACTGGTGGAGGGTCCATCACCTGCTTGTCTCCATGGAGATGTTATTGTTATGTCTGAAATGTCCCAGTACAGCATTAAAAGTATCCATCTTGCACTTATTTAATAACATGGGGCTTTATTGACCTAAAAACGTCCACTGACTTCCATCCGACATGTAACTTGGCCCTGCGGTGTCACCTGCTGTCTCCATAGAGATACATATGTTACACAATGTACCTTTAAATTATACTATACTTTATACTTTGGGGATTTATGGCAATAGTTGATGAGCGGACGGAGAATAAAAGGCCACATCGTTCCCACTGGTTTCGTGCCAGATATTTCTGTGAGTCACCGTTGAGCTGAGAAGCTGTTTACATTAGAGTCACCCCCTCCCCCTTCTCCCCTCATCGTCCTCCTCCTCCTTCCTCCTCCTCCTCCTCCCCTCTCCCAGACCAATGTCCCGTAAAGCTGTGGATAATGCAGACAGATTTAATGTCTTACCGCTGAACATCCCAGGCAGAGCTACAGTATATCGTCATGGAGACAAGCATGCCACAAACCAACCAAAAAAGTTATAGTGCAGCGTTAATACAAATAAACTGCAGACAGAAATAAAAATGTGTGTTTAATATTGATGGGACCAGATCATGCCGAGATTTTATGTCACCAGATCTTTCCCAAATGTGGAAATGATTTGGTGAGCCTTTTCTTTGTGTGTTTATATTTGGATTTAACTAAAAGGGGAGTGAAGAATGATGAATTTACCCCTTCAGATGATCGATAGTTGCTTTATTGATCCTGAAGGAAATTCAAAGCTCATCGGCCCCAACACAGAAACAAACATAGCAACATAGACACGACATTTAAAAGTGCATTGCATAACTTTTTGGTCGGGGGTCGATCATTTGCTTCTTTCTGTATATGATATGTCATTGTGCTGCTTGAAATGTTCCACAGTTTGACATTAAACAGCTCTTTTATTGCTTTCACAGACGTTATGACTGTGAGCGGGGGTGAGCGGGGTCCCCCTCTCCACAGATCTGACTCTAACTTGGTCTGGTTTGGTCTCCATGAGGATAGAAAGGTTTAATGCCATATTGTGAAACATTCCAGACAAGCAATAACATTTCAATAAAGAAACGCATTGGACAGACCCCCATCAGAAAAGTTACACAATGCGCCTTTAACAGTCCATCCTCTTGCATTCATCAGTTATAGGGATGTGTCTCACCTGTCTCTCACCTGTCTGTTTTACTTGACTGTCTCTCCTGTCTGTCTCACCTGTCTGTCTCACCTGTCTTTCTCACCTGTCTGTGTTGACAGGGCAGTCTGTTTGTCTCACCTGTCTGTCTCACCTGTCTGTCTGGCCTGTCTGTGTTGTCAGGGCAGTCTGTTGGTCTCACCTGTCTGTCTCACCTGTCTGTCTCACCTGTCTGTGTTGTCAGGGCAGTCTGTTTGTCTCACCTGTTGGTGTTACCTGTCTGTCTCACCTGTCTGTCTCACTGTCTGTCTCTGTCTGTCTCACCTGTCTGTCTCACCTGTCTGTGTTGTCAGGGCAGTCTGTTGGTCTCACCTGTCTGTCTCACCTGTCTGTCTCACCTGTCTGTGTTGTCAGGGTGTCTGTCTTGTCTCACCTGTCTGTCCCTCACCTGTCTGTGTTGTCAGGGTGGTCTGTCTGTCTCACCTGTCTGTCTCACCTGTCTGTGTCAGGGTGTCTGTCTGTCTCACCTGTCTGTCTCACCTGTCTGTCTCACCTGTCTGTCTTACCTGTCTGTCTGCCTGTCTGTGTTGTCAGGGTCTGTCTGTCTCTGTCTGTCTCACCTGTCTGTCTCACCTGTCTGTGTCTCTGTCTGTCTCACCTGTCTGTCTCACCTGTCTGTGTTGTCAGGGTGGTCTGTCTGTCTCACCTGTCTGTCTCACCTGTCTGTCTGGCCTGTCTGTGTTGTCAGGGCGGTCTGTCTGTCTGTCTCACCTGTCTGTCTCACCTGTCTGTCTCACCTGTCTGTGTTGTCAGGGCGGTCTGTCGGTGGACTCTATCTCAGACCTTGTAGAGAGCCAGTCTCGCCTGTTGGAGGCGCTGCAGCTGTCTCACCCTGCGGAGCTGGACCTGAAGAAGCCTCAGGAGTCCAGCAGGGGGCGCACTCCCTCCAAACTGAGCCTGAACCCCATCTACAGACAAGTGCCCCGCCTGGTGGAGAGCTGCTGCTACTGCATCGAGAGCCACGGTCAGACACACTTTTCAAACAGTTTCAACATGAGTTTGACTTGGTTTGGTGGGACGGTTCCAGAGACTGTATAAAACGGACATAGCAAACCTGATGGCCCCAGGGTTATCAGGTAAGAAGTGAGCATGGACACGTTTCCAGCTCTATCCACTCTGGCTCCCATTCACTTTCTACTGGAAAACAGTTGCCCCTTTCTCTGTAACTTCTTTGTGAGTTTCGTCATTTTGGTCTTTAAATGTTGTATAAAGCTGCTCTACATGATCCTGGGGTTTTTATTTACTGGGTCAGTCCATATGAAATCAGCCGCCCTCCCCTATGAGCCATCTCAGATTTGGCTGAAAAAAAATTCCAAAAACCATCACAAACAATGTACCACAAATAATCTCCAATTGTCTTCCCTTATAACAAGCAGTTAGTGTTCAAGTCTATTAAAGGTAACTGAACCTTTCCAGCAGGTGGAAAAGTGCCTAAACTCCACCAAAAATGACCCATGAGAGATCATTTTCAAAAATTCCGTTTGAAATGAAGGAAATTAATAGTAGATGTTTTTATTACTTTAAACTAATCAGAATATGCCAAAGTTTCTCATCGTTTCTTATCAACATCTAACTGTGTCACATGAGGAACCGAGGGTCCAAAGAAGGAGCCAGAAAGATCACATTTGGTCTGTGACCGTATTTGGGAGTCTACACCATCCACATGAAAGCTCAGAAAAGTGTGAGATTGTTGTCAGAAATGGTCTTTCTCTCAAATATTCAGGTTCAGCAGTTAGTTTGTAAATATCTGCTTGGAGTAAATAGATCTTGAAACCTCAAAAATAAAAAAAAATAATTAATTAATGAAGCGGCAACCAAATATAAGATTTTGGGGGCCCACAGAGCCCCCCTTAATAAAGATACCCAATATTTGACAACAGACCATGAATCTACAATAATCCAAATTTTCAGCTTCCTAGCTCTATTTTTGATGAACTTCCGGTCTCTCAAACGTGCTTATAAATTAAGGCTTCCGAAAAAGTGAGCATGGCCCCAAAATGTCAATGGGCCTTAACTCAGGAACGACTGAAGCGATTGAGCTACAATTTGAGATTCTTTCATTTGGTGATTTTTAGAAATTTTTGGAATTTTTTTTCTGCCAAATCTGAGATGGCTCATAAGGGAGATTCCTTGAAAATGGCTGATTTCATATGGACCGACCCTATTCTATTTTGTCTGTTAATCAAAATATGAACTTTAATAACAGACAAATCAGACTACTGGAAAAGCGAATGGGAAATTTCTCCCAGAACCAGCGAACCTGTTAAGCTCCATGGTGATGTGATATGTGGAGAACTGGAATGGAAATCTTTCTAGAATTATTTGATTTCTTTGTTTGTGCAGGGTTACAGACGGTGGGCATTTTCCGAGTGGGGAGCTCCAAGAAGCGTGTCCGCCAGGTGAGGGCGCTGGTCTCATGCTGGGCTTTGTGTAAAATATGTTTGACTTCAGAGGTCATAGGTCATCTGGACACTGTTTTTGAAATGTTTTGACTCACATCCAGGAGTCATTTTCAATCTGAAGGTGCTGGACTGAAAAGATCTGAGACTGAGGTCTCCCTGAATTCAGATGGGAGTGATTGACAGGTGGATTAGCCAATCAGGGACATGTGCAGGGCTGGCAGGTGAACAAAGTCAGATTGTTTCGGTTTTGATCTCCCTGGCCTCAGAAGGAACAAAGTGTGATTTATCTGAAATAGTTTCTCATATTTATTGTGATTTTTCTCATATTTTTCTCTTCAGTTACGTGAGGATTTTGACTTGGGTCTGGACGTGCGGCTGGACGAGGAGCAGAGTATCCATGACGTAGCGGCTCTGCTTAAAGAGTTCTTACGGGACATGCCTGACCCTCTGTTACCACGGGAACTGTACCCCGCCTTCCTCCATGCCAACGGTACAAATAAAACACTTTCTCTCTTTATCACTCTTTCTCTTCTATTCATCATTATGGCATAACTCAGACATTTTAAACGGCAATATTGATCTAGGTGACCTGAATAAAAGAAACACGTCCGCTAACTTCCGCGTTACAGAATTGAAGTGCTCAGTGGGCGTGTTTTTCTCCTCACAGCTTTGCACGGAGCAGATCAGATTGAGTTTCTGCAGTTCCTCCTCTTCCTCCTCCCTCCCTGTAACTCAGACACTCTGTGGAGGCTCCTGTCTCTGCTGCACCGAGTCCAGAGCCACGCCCACGACAGCGTCAGCCCAAACGGAGAACAGGTAACAGCTGCTTATTATCTTAAAGGGACAGTTCAGAATTTTGGCCATAGGGGCCTCATTTCCTAGTGAGCCAGAGTACTGTAGATGTGTGGAGACACTTTTTGAAATAATCCATCCAGTCCTTGTATTTGGAGAGGTTGTTGATGCTAGGCTAGTGCATGTCAATGGCCATAGTTATCCTGCTACTAATAACAGTCTTACCCACTCCACAAAACACCCGAAACAAATCTATTATTACACTAGACTGTTGATGTAAATGTCTGTGTTGATAGAATAATTTTAGAAGTAAAACCAACTTTGCATTTGAAGGATTTATGTCTGAGCAGCAGCAGCGAGTTGTATTTCCTGATAGAAAGCTCGGCAGTGGCGGACTGATATCGTCTAGCATCAACTGGCTCTGTAATAGTTTGTTTACTTGCAGTTGCCACACATAGAGCACATGAAGTTCCAGTTATGGCCAAGTTCATATCATCACAACTAACTAGAGCAGAGTAAAATTCCACTGCTGCTGAGAAAATAGTTCCTCAACATGCGACGATTCATGCGATACAAGGTTGGTTTTTCTTCTAAAATTATTCTGTTGACACAGACATTTACATCAATAGTCTGGTGTAATAATAGATTTGCTTCGGGTTTTTGTGGAGTGGGTAAGACTGTTTTTAGTGACAGGCTAACTATGGCCATTGACATGCACTAGCCTAGCACCAACAACCTCTCCAAATACAAGGACTGGATGGATTATTTCAAAAAGTGTCTTCACACATCTCCAACACTGTGGCTCATTAGGAAATGAGGCCCTATGTCCAAAATTCCGACCTGTCCCTTTAACTTAAATATTTACAGCACAGTTTTTGATAAAGCTGTGTTTGACTCATATTTATCCTCGTGCTGTGTTCCTGCAGATCTGTGGAAATAAGATGACGGCTGCTAACCTGGCTGTGATCTTTGGTCCAAACCTTCTGCAGAAGGAGAGGACCTCAGAGTGTCCTCTGTCTCTGGGCATCGAGGACAGCAGCACCATCATCAACGTGACTCTGGTATTGATCCAGAACTACAGGAGGCTCTTCACGGTATTTTATTTGTTATTCACATGACCACATTTGCATTACTACAGATCTGAGACACATTCACTCTGTTTCATTTGTATTTGCAGGTTTCAGCAGAGCTCCAGCAGGAGGTGCTGATGAGCCTGATCCAGACCGACCCCGACATCATCGACTACCTCCTGCGACGCAAACTCAGGTAACCACGGCAACAGTACACTGTAGATTTCAGGAGACAGATTAAAATGAAATCTAAAGCTGCACTCTGTACCTTTTCTGGTGGAGGGGTCTGCCAGCAGGTTGTCTCCATGGAGATGTTATTATCTTGTCTGAAATGTTCCACAGTATTTTATTGCACAAAAATCCCTTGACGTGGCCTGGGAGTGTCACCTGAGATGTATGTTTGATCCGCTGGCAGACCCTCCACAAAGTTACATAGTGTATCTTTAAATAATCCTCTCTGTTTTGTGTTGGCATGGTTACCAAAACCTTCATTACAGTCAGGTTTGCCAAGTAACAGCAGCAGTAGTGTGAAACACATCAAACTACAGAAGAATCTGAAATCTGAATCTGATCTCTCTCTCTCTCTCTCTCCCTCCTCTTTCCCTCCTCTTCCTCCCTCTCTCTCTCTCTCACTCACCCACAACTCTCTCTCTCCCTCCTCCCCTTCCTCTTTCCCTCTTCCTCTCTTCCTCCTCTCCCTCTCTTTCTCCCCCTCCTCTCTCTCTCTCCTCTTCATCCGCCCTCTCTTTCTTCTCTCTCTCTGTCTCTGTCTCTCCCCCTCTCACCCACAACTCTCTCTCTCCTTCCTCTCTCTCTTTCTCTATCTCTCTCCTTCTCTCCTTCCTCTTTCCTCTTCCCCTTTCTCTCTCTGTCTCTATCTCTCCCCCTCTCACCCACAACTCTCTCTCCTTCCTCCCGTTCCTCTGTCCCTCTCCCTCTCTCTCTCCCCCTCCTCTCTTCTCCCCTTCCTCTCTTTCCCCTTCCTCTCTCTCCTCTCCCTCTCTGTCTCCCTCCTGTCTCTCTTCTCCCTCTCTTCCCCTCCTCTCTCTCTATATCTCCCCCCCTCACCCACAACTCTCGCTCTGCCTTCTCCCCTTCCTCTTTCCCTCTTCCTCTTCTCCCTCTCTTTCTCCCCCTCCCCTCTCTCTCTCTCCTCTCTATCCCCCTCTCTCTTCCTTCTCTACCTCTCTTTTCCCCTCCTCTCTCCTTCCTCTCCCCCTCTCTCTGTCTCTATCTCTCCCCCTCTCACCCACAACTCTCTCTCCTTCCTCCTCTTCCTTCTCCCTCTCTCCACAGCACCGTCCCCCTCTCCCCCTCGCCCTCCCCCTCCGGTCGCCACGACACCCGTCCCTCTCTGGACTCAGTGGGAGCTTCCAGCGGCAGCGTCTCTCCCCAGGACCCGCCCTCTCCTCCGTGCCCCCCAGACGGAGCCTCTTCCGTGGGGACCCTGAGCGGCGAAGTCCTGCTGAAGGCCATCAGACTGAACCAGAGCCGGAGGAGACAGGAGCACCAGAGGGGTGAGCACTCCCATAGACTGTGTATAGAAATGTACACACTAGCTGCTGTGCTCTAAATAGGAAGTGAGCATGGGCATGTTTCCGGCTCCATCCACTCTTGCTCCTATTGACTTTATATTTAAAAATTTTCACTCCTTTGTCTGTCAATTTGGTCTTAAAATGCTCGTATTAACCCGCTCTAAATGACAATGGTGTTTTTATTTCACTATTTTGTACGTAATTAAATTCTTCTACGAAGTGAAATCAGCTGATGAATCTGGCCAGACGTCCCTATTTACGGTCCCAGTTTTGAGCCCTGTGTCCCCTGTACCATCAGATTTATCCAAAACCAGAGATTTGTCCTAGTTTTATACAAGAAATGTCCCAGGTGTCTCTATTTGTTCTAATCCAGGTCTAAACTAAGCTTAAACCAGGACTACATCAACTCTAAACCAGGACTAAAACAGAAATATTACAGTTTGTGACTAATCTGATCACCGGCAACAGTAAAGAGAAGCATAAATTGTCATTTGTTTAGCCAAAATACAGAAATCCGTGCAAAGCAACAACAAAAAAATGCAGCAACAGAAGTCCCTCAGATTATGACTGACATGAGAATGCACAATCTTACATGGTCTTTTCACAATTTTATTTATACCACCATCCCAACCCGGGTGTGTCCCTGTTTTTTTCTGAAAATCTGGTCACCCTAACCTAGAACATTAATAACAAAATAAACATGTATAACAAGACATAACAAAAGATAAGACTAACACACACAGAAAAAACAAGAGGAAAAACAACTATAACCACAAGCCATGGTGAGCTTCATTTGACTGGAGCCGAACGCTATGGGTGAAATCACACTTAGTCTGCTTATTTATACAGTCTGTGTCCACTCCTCACCCCTGCCCCAGCACCTGTCATATCACCTGACGTAACACCTGCCATAACTGTGATGGGGGGTGTTCTATGTGTATTTTCATTGGCAGAATATTCAGCAGTTACCATGGTGACACAAGGCAAACAGACAAAAAACATGTCTGAAAACATAAGAAAAGCAACACATTTTCAGGCGCCTGTGATCAACACGAGCGTTCATGGTTCTGTGTTTGGTTTTCAACAAAAAGGTGAGAGTGACGAACTGAAAAACTGTTGGATACTGCTTATCTTGTGATTGTAATTTTATGTGAGAGTACGGTGATTAAAAGTCCCTGTTTACCCGGAACACTCCCAGTTTTGAGCCCTGTGTCCCCTGTTCCAGCAGATTTATCCAAAACCAGTGATTTATCCCAGTTTTATAATGAAATGTCCCAGGTGTCCTTATAGATGCATCAAGAATTTTGGACTTCCGGTCATTGCACAGTACATACTGGGAAGGATTTTCCGAAAAAGTGAGGATCAAACCACCATGTTTGTTTCCCAGTGGGATGGGTCTATTGACAAAGCCAGTCTTTTCTAGTCTTTTGAATCATATTGCTTTTATTTCTGGTTCTGATATTGTCATATTTTAGTTTTGGGATTCAGACATTGTAATTGTGTGGTTGTTGGATGTCCTAACAGCGGAAAACAGCTCAAGAAATTTGTTTGCGAACTTCATAAATGCAAAAGGGAATCAGATGTGTGTGACTGCAAACCTCTGTTCAAACTGTTTCCCTTCCCAATGGAACTGAAAAACAGTGAAAGGTGAAGGCGATGGGCAATAATCATCCACAGGAAGGATGAAAAAGAAAACCTTTGACTGCCTAAATCATTCCGAGTTTGCAGTGAACATTTTGTATGTGGAGCGCCAACAAAGCAAAATCCCGATCCCTCGCTCAACTTTGGTTACGAATTTAAAAAGTCAACGCCAAAGCGAAAGGCACCAACTGTTCACCAAGAAACACCTTCTACTGTAAAGAGACAGACGTGATGTTGCTGTAAAACCACAAGAACAAGAAAGTGTGAGCTCAGTCTGTTTGTCTTCTGCACCTCTCACTTAACAAACGGGATCCCACTTAAAGTTTTTCTATAGAATTCAAGTTCTTTATTAATAAAATATAGATTTTCATAGGGGGGTCAACATACCATAATAGGATTCTGACCCCGGGCTCACATCACTGTGGGGTCAAAAGCCTATACCACACCGGGATGTCCCAGTATTTTTTATTTTGAAAATCTGGTCACCCTGGTAAATACACACTGCAAATACATATACAGTATGTGTTTTTATACAGTCTACGCTACAGATACAGTAAAATGAGCTCAGTGCACCATCTAGTGGAGGAAAGCAGACATTACACATTATGTTAAATTACGCCACCCTTAAAAATGAGATAGTTTTTGTTCCATAAACTCTATTTGTGTACACAGATAGGTCTAAAGGAGCATTGTGTCACCATAGTAACTGCTGAACTTTTTACCATAGACATAGATGTACAATACCCCCAGCATGATGTCACTGTAAAGTATCAGTACAGCCGATGGTGTTGTAAAATACAGAGGTTTCAGGAGTTTTAAAGTGAAACCTTGTCTGTCTCTGTGTGTCTGTGTCCAGGTGACTGCGCTCTGGTCAAGTCCTTCTCCCACATGAGACAGTTCCACTCCCACCACAACCTGCTGAGTCTGACCCTGCCCTCACCCTCGTCACCCACCTCAGACTTGTCCCCTTTCTCCCCATTCTCTCCCTGCTCCTCAGCCTCTCATCCCTCCCCCCTCTCCCCCCTCTCTCCCTTCTCCCCCTCCTCCCTCTCCTCCCCCCAGAAAACAGACAACCAGGAGCTCCAGGACCCCCCCTCTGCCCAGCCCCTCTCCCCCAGCGCAGAGGCCCCGAGGCTGGGCAGCGGCTCCGGTCCGAGCGGGTCCAGTGAGAGCAGCGTGTGGGTGCGACAGACTCCATCGGAAGAGACCAGAGACCAGACCAGAGACCAGGCCAGAGATCAGACCAGACACCAGACCTGGGACCAGACCTGGGACCAGACCTGGGACCAGATCAGACACCAGACCAGAGACCAGACCAAGGACCAGACCAGGGACCAGACCAGAGACCAAACTAAAGATGAGCTGAAAAATGAGCAGAAAAACTCAAACTTCTGGGACTTTTTCAGTGGGAAAGGCTCCAGCTCTGAGACCACGGTCTGAGGAAGAACTACTGGTTTAAAGAGGAGCAGCTATAGAAGCTAAACACCTCTAGAACTGAAAATTGATTCTTTGGAGAGAATTGGAAGAGACATTTCTTCAGCTCTGTTCAAACACTACAGCAGACATATACATATAACACTTTGCCCCAGAGACATATTACACTATTTTTGTGTTATATATGTTAGAATGTTGCTTCCTCGTCACAAACAGACCTGGAGTTGGGTTTTATTTCATTCACACGTTTAACACACAAACCCTGCATATGTAGGCTGAATTTTTCTCTGTTCCACCTTGTGATGACATGCGGTAATATAAGTGTTCCACTGTGTTTTTAAACTCCATACACCTTCACTATAATTATTTGGCTGATTTCAGCCCTGGAATTGCCATATTCTACTGAACTAAAGGTAAAAGGTAGCCATTAACATTTTGAGTTTGAGATGTAGACAAATTAATAATAAAGAGCTACTCAAACCTATGTGAATGAAACAAAACACAACTCCAGTTGTGTTTTGAAGAGGTAACAACATTATAACATGACTTAAAGCTCACAAGAGTCAATTTTGTGTAATGAACCAAGTCTGCCTCATTAATGACACTTGTAATGTACATATTCTTCATACGTTTGTAAACATAAATGTCTTTTCACAAAAACTACCTTTTAGTTTAGATTAAGAAGTGCATGATTTGAAGAGCTCCGTAAGAGACAAAAAAGGTCATATATTAAGATTTTTTTTTTTTTTGACTTAATCTGTCTGGTTTTGTCAATGTAAATAAACGTATAACAGAAAAACTGACTGTACATAATTACTGCATTTATAATTGTTAAATGAATAAATTATATTTTATACAAGTTACTACATAAAGCAGAATAGTTTTTCTTGTCTTGTCTCATTTCACGCAGGAACTCCATCTAACCACCAGAGGGCAGTAGACACAAACCTGATCATTTTTCATAAAGTTCGAAAAATAATTTACTTCTTGTCCTATTATTATTATTATTATCATAGTAGTAGTAGTAGTAGTAGTAGTAGTAGTAGTTCTATTAGTAGTATTAGGAGAAGTAGTAGTAGTAGTAGTAGTTCTAGTAGTAGTAGTAGTAGCTGTAGTAGAAGTAGTAGTAGTTCTATTAGTAGTAGCAGTAGTAGTCCAGCAGTAGCAGCAATAGTAGTAGTAATAGTTCTATTAGTAGTATTAGTAGCAGCAGCAGCAGCAGTAGCAGCAGCAGCAGTAGTAGGCCTAGTTCTATTAGTAGTAGCAGTAGAAGTCGTATTAGTAGTAGTTCTATTAGTAGTATTAGGAGCAGTAGTAGTAGAAGTAGTAGTTCTATTAGTAGTAGTAGTAGTAGCAGTAGTAGTCCTGTTAGTAGTATTAGGAACAGTGGCAGTAGCAGTAGTAGTAGTTCTATTAGTAGTAGCAGTAGTAGTAGTAGTAGTTCTAGTAGTAGTAGTAGTAGCAGCAGTAGTAGTAGTTCTATTAGTAGTAGCAGTAGTTGTAGTAGCAGCAGCAGCAGTAGTAGTAGTAATAGTTCTATTAGTAGTATTAGTAGCAGTAGTAGTAGTAGTAGTTCTAGTAGTAGTAGCAGTAGTAGTAGTAGCAGCAGCAGCAGCAGCAGCAGCAGTAGAAGTAGGCCTAGTTCTATTACTAGTATTAGTAGTAGCAGTAGCAGTCATAGTAGTAGTAGCAGCAGCACCAGCAGCAGTAGTAGTAGTAATAGTTCTATTAGTAGTATTAGTAGCAGTATTAGTAGCAGTAGTAGTAGTAGTAGTAGTAGCAGCAGCAGCAGCAGCAGCAGTAGAAGTAGGCCTAGTTCTATTAGTAGTATTAGTAGTAGCAGTAGCAGTCATAGTAGTAGTAGCAGTAGAAGTAGTAGAAGCAGCAGTAGAAGTAGTTCTATTATTATTATTAGTAGTAGTAGTAATATTAGTAGCAGTAGTAGCAGCAGCAGCAGTAGTAGTAGAAGCAGCAGCAGTAGTAGTTCTATTAGTAGTATTAGTATTAGTAGCAGCAGTAGTAGTAATAGTAGTATAGTAGTATTAGTTGTATTAACGTTTCACTCAAACTGAACGGGAATCTACCAGTAAGAACTGAAAGTACAGAACAAAAAACAGGCTCGAGTCCAACACAGAGCAGGATGTACTGAAGACTGAAGGACTGGAGAAGAAAACAGGTCCACAGCAGAAGGCTGCAGAAGATGCTCTCAGTCAGTTGTTCCTGTGCTGGAGGTATGTTCTGTATGTAGCTCATGTTTATTACCGACTCTGCAGATGTGGAAGCAGTGAGACGGACCAGTGCGCCCTCTGCTGGACATGCTCTCAAAGTGCACCTACACAAAAATTTACAAATGTGTGACAAAAAAAAAAAAAAAAAAAAAAAAAAACACGACTTGAAAAACATTGAAATGCTCTTGTGCATACACTTGGGCAAGAAATACAACAGGAGATGCACTGTTTCCTTCAACCTACCAAGCACTGATGAAGAGAGATGATGGAAGATGACCAAACTTGCCCTCTCAAAATAAAGGCTTTTAAAGATTTTCTAACAGAGTAACCTTTTTCATGAGCACCCTTAGTTATAGGGACATCATCAGCTCCCTGTTTTTGTACTCTTGTTTTTTAGTCTTTATTTTAGAATGGTTCTCTCGTAAGCATCAGTTCACGGTCTGTATTTTAAAAATGCATTCTCATATTATATTAATAGAACGAGGTTATTACAAATATTTAGTTCAATTCCTGAAAATTCACCAAGTGAGGGGGAAATGTGTAACATGGAGATAAATAAATGACCAAATTACAGAAACAAGAGAATAGGAAAAACCCAGATCACATGTAAATATTGCGTTCACACTTCTCAGTTTCTGTTTGTAATTTATTTGAAAGGCCTAATATTGAGACCTCGGGTTGTACTGACGGTGCCAAGAACTGTTTTTAAGGTTTTAAGGCAGGGGTCAGATTGGTCAAAAATAGTGACACATGAGACATCTCTTGTATAAAACTGGGACAAATCACTGGTTTGTGTAAATCTAGTGGGACAGGGGACACAGGACTCAAAACTGGGTAAACAGGGACGTCTTTTCCTCCTGTATTTCCAGCGGCTTTGTGACGGGAGCAGGTGCGAAATGAAACGTCAGCCTGTGTGAAAAAATATCAGCCCATGTGAAACTACAATGCAGCTTTACCACAAAGGAGATCTGTGCTGAACTGTTTTAGTCTGCCTGTCTGGATCTGATCAAATTTGGTGGCCAGAAAAGAAGGATGGACATTATTATCATATTAGGAATTTCACTGCGTTGTGAAAACCCCCGTATGGCTCCTACAAGTAGTATTAATAAGAGGTAGTAGTAGTAGTAGTAGTAGTAGTAGTAGTAGTAATAGGAGGAGTAGTAGTAGTATTAATAGTAGTAGTAGTAGTAGTAGTAGTAGTAGTATTAATAGGAGTAGTAGTAGTAGTAGTAGTAGTAGTAGTAGTAGTAGTAGTAATATTAAGAGGAGTAGTAGTAGTATTAATAGGAGTAGTAGTAGTATTAATAGTAGTAGTAGTAGTATTAATAGTAGTAGTAGTAGTAAGTAATAGGAGTAGCAGTAGTATTAATAGGAGTAGTAGTAGTATTAAGACACTTAATACTACTACTACTCTTAATTTAAGAGTAGTAGTAGTAGTATTAAGAGTAGTAGTAGTAGTAGTAGTAGTAGTAGTAGTAGTAGTAGTAGTAGTATTAATAGGAGTAGTAGTAGTATTAAAAGTAGTAGCAGTAGTATTAAGAGGAGTAGTAGTAGTAGCAGTATTAAGAGTAGTAGTAGTATTAAGAGTAGTAGTAGTAGTAGTAGTAGTAGTAGTAAGTAATATTAAAAGGTGTAGCAGTAGTATTAATAGGAGTAGTAGTAGTAGTAGTAATATTAAGAGGAGTAGCAGTAGTATTAATAGGAGTAGTAGTATTAATAGTAGTAGTAGTAGTATTAAGAGTAGTAGTAGTAGTAGTAGTAATATTAAAAGGAGTAGCAGTAGTATTAATAGGAGTAGTAGTATTAATAGGAGTAGTAGTATTAATAGTAGTAGTAGTAGTATTAAGAGTAGTAGTAGTAGTATTAAGAGTAGTAGTAGTAGTAGTAGTAGTAGTAGTAGTAGTAGTAATATTAAAAGGAGTAGCAGTAGTATTAATAGGAGGAGTAGTAGTAGTCGTAATATTAAGAGTAGCAGTAGTATTAAGACACTTAAATTAAGAGTAGTAGTAGTATTAAGTGTCTTAATACTACTGCTACTCTTAATTTAAGAGTAGTAGTAGCAGCAGTATTAAGAGTAGTAGTAGTATTAAGAGTAGTAGTAGTAGTAGTAGTAGTAGTAGTAGTAGTAGTAGTATTAAGTAGTAGTAGTAGTATTAATAGGAGTAGTAGTAGTATTAAGAGGAGTAGTAGTAGTATTAAGAGTAGTAGTAGTAGTATTAAGAGGAGTAGTAGTAGTATAGTAGTAGTAGTAGTAGTAGTAGTAGTAGTAGTAGTAGTAGTAGTAGTAGTAGTAGTAGTAGTAGTAGTAGTAGTAGTAGTAGTAGTAGTAGTAGTATAAACATCACGAGACAAGCAGCTGCCAGACTCACCACCCGAAAAGTTCCAGAGTGCAGCTTTAAGCGGGAGTAAAGACATTTTTCAACATTTAAAACAAGGAAAACAGCTCCGGTAAAGTTGTAAGTTTGTGTTTTATTTCAGTCCAGAACTTTAATCCCAAACTTTGAACTGCATTTACACCAAAGTGATCATGTGACAGAAAAAAAACAAACAAAAAAAAAACAGCTTCTTAAATGAGCGAATAAATAACAAAAATAATACTTAATGTTCTTTTAATGAGAGGTAATGTTTATCCGAGGTTGCCATGGAAACAGACTGAGAATTCTGTAGAGTTAAAATGACGGGTGCACGTGTAATTTTTCTGGTGCTGGTCTCCATGGAGATGGTAATTTACAGATTTGCCTAGAATGTTCCACAGTACGGCATTAAACTTGAAACTGCATTTATTCAATTCCAGGTATTTTTGGTCGCCTCTCCACAGATCTGACCTCCATGGAGATAGATTCTTTTCCAGGCAAAGCAATAACATCTCCAACCAGGGGAAAAGCAGGCAGCAGATCCTTCACCAGAAAAGTTACACAATGCAGCATTAACTCCATTTGAGGCAAAATCATTATTGTGATTACAGGAGCCCTGGAGGGACATTTCAAGTACAAGACCAGTCAAAAGTCATTTTTTTTAACATTTCAACATTTTAACTACCCCAAGAAAATATCAAATATATGAAGCAAGACATGGAATTAAAGGTGCACTGTGTAACTTTTCTGGGTCCGTTACCTAATAGTCCTCCTTAGTATTGCATTAAATGAATCTATCTCCATGGAGACCAAAAAGTGACACGCAAGCCAAGTTACAGGTCAGCTTTTTTTTGTTGTTTTAAAGCAATAAAAACACCTGTAACTGAACATTTAATGCCATACTGTGGAACATTTCAGGCAAAGCAAGAACATCTCCCTGACGGAGCCTCCACCAGAAAAATTACACAACGCACCTTTAAGTAGAGGAGAAAAACGTGAAAGAACTCTAAAAATGTTATTATGAAAACAGGAGAAAGGTGAGCGCTACCTGGTCCATGTTAAAAAGTTTCTTGATAAAGTCTCCTGAAATGGTTTCCACTTCAGAGCCGTGTGATTTCAGGGTCAAGAAACGCTAAAAGTGCAAAACCGACGTAGAAAGCAAAGGGTGGATATTTTTAAAGGTGCACTTTGTAACTTTTCTGCTCGTCCCCCTGGAGATGTCGCCGCTTTGCCTCGATTATTTCACAGTATTGAAATAAAATTGGTTATCATCACAGCGGATACTAGTTACATCTGCGTGTAGTGAGAATTCATGTTTTTCAAGGTATTTTTGAGCTCTAAAAATCCTGTAATTGAATAAATACAAGGCAAATGTGTTTAATGCCATACTGTGGGAGATTCTAAGCAAAAAAATTACATCACCGTGGAGACGAGCAAGCAGCAGACCCTCAGAATCTCCACCTTAGAAGTTACGTAGTGCAGCTTTAACAGTCTACAATTTAAAAGAAGTTATTTTGAGTAAAATTTTTTGCTTGCTTCATCCCACATACCGTACTTTGAACAATATAGGGTGCACTTAAAAGAATTTAATTTAATCAAAAAACAACTGCGCCTGAATTTATTGGGGTGTCTTAGTACGATTTTAGTAAACTACAAAGCCGCTTCACATGCAGCATTACGGCTCCCGTAGTCAGGAGTATCGAGGAGTAATACATACTGTGATTCCTTTTAATATCAAAATGCACCTGTCAAGAGACACACTTACAACGCTCACTTTAAACTCAAGGCTATTATAAAGTGAAAGTGCGAGCTGCGTGGGAGCAGTGGATGAGAGAAGGAGAACACACATTCACCAAGACAGAGAAGACAGCGCCGAGCGACTTAAGCCACGATCTGCCAATGGATCGTGGACGCCTGGGCTAAGGATCAGTATCAACTGTGGTCCGAGCTTTCACCAAGACCAGAATCATCACTGAACTGCCAGGTAACAGTAACCACACTGACTCAGATAATGACGAGAGGGATGTGGGCGTACTGGACGCTGTAATCGGCCAACTGTTTGAACAATTATGAGTTATTGTGAAAACACTAACAATTTAGCATCTCAGACAGCGTTTTTTTTTTACACGTTACAATTGAACAAAGTTGAAAGTTATTGTGAACCCGTTAAATAAAGTTTGACTGACTTATCTAACTGTTGTGTTTCCTTTAATGCGCCTTATAGTCCGGGGCAGTTTATATGTGAAAAAAGTTCAAAAATAGACTATTCAATGACAGTGCGCCTTATAATCCAGAGCGCCTTATAGTGCAGAAAATACGGTATGTCTTCCATAGTTTTGACGCTTTCACCGAGAATCTACAATTGAAATAATCACGTAAATAAAGAAGAAATACAAATGAAAAAGTGTCTCCAAACTTTTTACTGGTCGTCTTGAATAAAAGCTTTTGGTAGAATGCTTCACGCCCAGTTTAGTGTTTCCTCCAAAATAAAACAAACAAACAAGAATTCTAATTTTGAAACCAATTTTTCATAGTTTCAAAATGTTACACTTGTGATTATTTCAAGCAAGCATTTATAATAATTCCAATATATATTTTTATGTACACGTCTTGTCATGTAATCCACTGGTTACACAAAACATCTTTGAGTGATCTGAGCTGCCTCAACACAAGATAAACAAAAACAAAATCAACAGAGAGAGACATCTGAAAACTATAGACCATTTTTAGAACATTAACACATTTAAATAAACACTCTTTCAGCATTTTCAGGTCATTGGCGGGTCTGTCACCTTCTTGTTTCTATAGATACGTCATTGCTTGGTCTGGAAAGTTCCGCAGTATGACATTAAACAGCTCTACTTTACATTTATTCAATCACAGGTGGTTTTATAGCTCAGAAATACTTCAAAAAACAGGTATTCTCTAAGATCTGACCTGTAACTTGGTCTGGTTTGGTCTCCATGGTGATAGAAAGGTTTAATGCCATACTGTGAAACATTCCAGATGAAGTAATAACATCGCCGTAGAGAAAAGAGTCTGACGGACCCTCCAACACAAAAGCTACACAATGCACCTAGAAATTCAAAATATGTGCTTTGTCATGGTTTTTGTGCATTTTCAAAAGAAGACACATGATTTTCAAGCAACTGGGAATTCAAAACAAAGGAAAAATTTGAAAAATTGTTTAAATAACAGAACAATTTCCAATATATCGTATTAAAAGGTGCACTATGTAACATTTCTAGGGGAGAGTCTGCCATCTGCTGTTCCCCATGGAGATTTTTTGCTCTTCCTGAAATGTTCCACATTATAGCATTAAACTTATCTTGGAAAAGTTCAATTAAACGTGTTTTTATTGCCATACAGACCACAAAAAAATGGATTCTCACTGTGAGCAGGATTGCCACTCTATAGCCCTGAAGTTTATACATGCATCACGAATTTCAGATTTCCAGTCATTGCGCAATGCATACTGGGAAGGACTTCCCGAAAAAGTGAGCATCAAATCGCCATGTTTGTTTTCGCAGTGGGAAACGTCTATTGACAAAGCCAGTCTTTTCTAGTCTTTTGAAGTATAGATCTCTTTTGTTTCTGATATTGTCATATCTTTTTCGTTTGTGTGGTTGTTGGATGTTCTAACAGTGAAAACGTCTCAAGAAATTTGTTTGCGAACTCCATAACTGCATATGAGAATCAGATGTGTGTGACTGCAAACCTCTGTTCAAACTGTTTTCCTTCCCAACGGAATTGAAAAATAGTGAAAGGCAAAGGCGATGGGCAGGATTGATCCACAGGAAAGATGAAAAAGGAAACCTTTGACTGCCTAAATCACCCCGAGTTTGCAGCAAACATTTTATATGTGGAGCGCCAATAAAGCAAAATCCAGATCCCTCACTCTACCTTGGTTACGAATTTAAAAAGTCAACTCCAAAGCGAAAGGCACCAGCTGTTCGCCAAAAAACACCTTCCACTGCAAAGAGACCAAGACATGATGTTGCTGTAAAGACAGTCGAACAAGAAAGTCTGAGCTCAGTCTGTTTGTCTTCTGTACCTCTCGCTTAACAAACGGGATCCCACTTTGATGGTGCTCCACATACAAAATGTTCACTGCCAACTCGTAATGATTTAGGCAGTCAAAGGTTTCCTTTTTCGTCTTTCCTGTGTATCAATACTGCCCATCACCTTCGCATCTGACTATTTTTCAATTCCATTGGAAAGAGAAACAGTTTGAAGAGAGGTTTCATATAGATTCACACAGATCTGATTCCCTTTTGCATTTATGGGGTTCGCAAACTTCCGAAGTCCATTTCCCGAGCTATTTTCCAGTGTTAAGACATCCAACAACCACACAATTACGATGTCCGAATCCCAAAACTAAAATATGACAAAATCAGAACCAGAAACAAAAGTGATATGGTTCAAAAGACTAGAAAAGACTGACTTTGTCAATAGACACATCCCACTGGGAAAACAAACATGATGGTTTGGTGCTCACTTTTTCGGAAAATCCTTCCAGTATGCATTGCGTGATGACCAGACGTCCAAAATTCGTGATGCATCTATTGCCACAGTGTGGAACATTTCAAGCAAAGCATCAACATCTCCATGGAAACAAGCAAGTGGCATACACCTGAAAAGTTCCATAGTGCATTTTTAGTATTAGTGTGTGAAACATTTTTCCACCGTGTGTTCATTCTATTTAAATAAAAAGAACACTTTTTAACTGTAGATAAAGTATTGATACTTTGCAGGGGAGTGTTTATGTTTATGTTTATATGGTGGAATGTTCAGCAGTTACCACGGTGACACAATGCACACAATAGCAATAACTACCAATATTTTTTAAACATCTGGAAATTCTAGAAAAAATTAAAAATGGATTCAAAGGGACAGTTTGGAATTTTGGACATAGGGTCTCATTTCTTAGTGAGCCAGAGTAGTGTAGATATGTGGAGACACTTTTTGAAATAATCCATCCAATCCTTGTATTTGCAGAGGTTACTGGTGCTAGGCTAGTGCAAGTCAATGGCCATAGTTATCGTCCCTCAACGTGTGATGATTCATATGACAATACAAGGTTAGTTTTACTTCTAAAATTATTCTATCGACAGTCACATCAACAGTCTGGTGTAATAATAGATTTGCCTCGGGTACACTATGGAGTGGGTAAGACTGTTTTTAGTGGCAGGCTAACTATGGCCATTGGCTTGTGCTAGCCTAGCATCAACAACCTCTCTAAATACAAGGACTGGATGGATTATTTCAAAAAGTGTCTCCACATATCTACAGTACTCTGGCTCACTAGGAAAAGAGGCCCTATATCCAAAATTCTGAACTGTCCCTTTAAAACCGTACATTTTCTGGAGCTTGTGATCACTGCACATGCTCATGGACTTGTTTAGGCCTCAAACAGAGCAGAGCCTCCAGTTAGCTTCACACTCCCAGACAATGTTGGTGACATAAGCTGCAAGGTATCAATATGCCTGAACTTTTAGTGGTTTATATATTTGGGTTGCAGGTTCGATCCCTACTGTGGTCATGTCCTTTTGCGAGACACTTCCCACACCTATGAATTACAATGATTTAATAAATACAGAGTGCTTTTGAATGGAGAGTTTATGGCGAAATGTATAAATAGGAGCGCAGACAGAGCCCATGTGTTTTTTAGTGTTATTTTGAGCTGAAAAACAGAAAAAACTGTTATGTAAAAATGAGCAAGCGACCGCCAGAGATTCAGATGAGAAGTTTGGTGAGAACTGCTTTTGAAAACTTATAAAAGAAATAACATTCAACAAAACCTTGGCATGATTCAGTTGGAAAATAAAAAAAAGCATAAAAGAGCAGCCAGGGTGAACTTTTGGAGCAAATTGTACTTTAAAAGGTGCACTGTGTAACTTTTGTTTCTATGGAGATGTCACCTTACATTTCTTCAATTACAGGTGGTTTTATAGCTCAAAAAATACCTGGTAAAACAGGCACGCTGACTGTGAGTGAGGTCGCCTCTCCACAGATCTGACCTGTAACTTGTTCTGTTTGGTCTCCATGAAGATAGAAACGTTTAATACCATACTGTAAAACATTCCAGACAAAGCAATAACATCTCCAAGGAGAAAAGCAAGTGGTAGAGCCTCCACCAGAAAAGCTACACAATGCACCTTTAAGTAAGAGTACGCTTAACTCTTGAGACATAACATTTTGTCTCTTTACTTGTTTCATTTCCAAGCTCACGAATCTCCACTCACTTCCAAATCCATCAGCGGTCGTCTTGTTACTGTAAGGTGCTCGTTTTGATCCTGGCGGAGGCGGCGGACATTCTGAGTCTGTTCAGTCTCGTCTCTGGCTCGTCCCGTCGGAAAAGCCCGGGTTTGTGGCGTTAGCTCGTGTGCAAAAGCTAAGTGTTTCCTGTTGGGGCGGGGCTGCAGATTTGGGGGGCGGGGCTTCAGTCTCTGGATTGGTAAAACAGGATGTAACCGGATTCAGAGTTTTTAGAAATGTCCGATGTCAAACCGTAAAACTCCTCTATCGCCTGAGCGTCAATTTTCTGAAAAACACAAACACACAATTAAATGAACATGAACGTTTATGCTGAAATCAAAGGTTAGACTTGATATGACATTTTAAGTTGAAACACTGGCCAAAATTGCAAACATTTGGATATATAATTTTGAAAACTTGATAGAGTTATAGATTAAAAAAAAAAAAAAAGAAACAAAGGGGAATTTTGGTATAATTTTGGATGGATATATTAAGGATTTAAGGAGTTAATGTTTTGGCAGCTATACTGGAGGTCAAGGTTGGGGTTGATCCGGAAGGTGTTATTCAGTTACTACAATATAATTATTGCTACTTTAAAGACCGCAATTGTCCAAAATTGCCAGCTCGTTAGATCAACCGTCATTAGAAAGGTATAAAGCTGAAGTCATCCTCCTGGGTTGTGGAATAGGCTCCTAATTCTGACGCTCACTCTGTGCCCCACCTCCAATATCCAGAAATTTCTAACTCCTTAATTCATTCTACATCGTCCTACAGCAACCAAGAAGTGAAAAGTTACAAGGGGTTAGAGGTTTATAAATATTTTGTCGCTGGATGAGTGAGATCTTTGTTGATCACCAAGACATCACATCTGTTCCTGATAACAGCCAGGGGAAGTAGAATGGGGGTCAACATCAGAACTGTAGCTATCCCGGGTGGTGGAAATTGAGATTCCAACCCGGTGAAAGTGAGGACCGGGCCGGGCGGGATTCCGTGCTGCCAAAAGTGAGGACCAACGGGGGATTTCGTGCCCCTGAAAGTGAAAAACGCACAGCCCATCCGTCTTATTTTATCGCACACAAATACGACACATTGGCCCAGGTGGATAGTTTGACCTCCAATATGGCAACATAAACAATGCTTTTGTGACATAGAGGCAAAACCTTAATAGTATTTGATAAAAACAAAATCTTACTATAAATTGGCAAACAAATTTGAGCTGAAACTTGTAAATATATCAACGAATCATTCTGTATTATTTGTCAAAAGACATACTGTGCTTGTGTCTGCTTTATAGTTAAAATCTATGACATGTATCGATCATTAAGTTATATTTTCAATGTTTTTAAATCACAATATTCATCTAAAACAACTTAATAAAAGAAACAAGTGTGCTGATTTCTGCATTAGAAAACAGTGGTGCCCAATGGGAGCTGCACTGTGTCGCCGCATGCTGTCTGTACCTCCTGTGGATAGCTGCAGATCACACTAGCGAGTAGCAGTATTTATTTTTTTTCCATTTGTACTAAAATGGCAATGTGACACTGCCGAATCCTATGTGTTTCACTGATTAAGAATTCAAAATGAGAGGGAAGTAAGTACAGAGCATTGGGCAATATGAAAACGGCTGAAGACCAGAGCAATGACGTCTTGATTACAAAATAAAGTTTACTCAAACATGCACAAATCAGTGCAAATACAAAACTATTATAACATGGTTAAAAGATCTGAAAAGCCAGTTTTGCAGAATGAGCCCACTTTAAGTACAACATCATAAAGTTTGGTGTATGTAGCTGCTACTAAAATGGGCGATCTTTATGTCCATATGTTATAAAAATGCATTTTGAGAAACAGCCCGTGAAATTTGAGTGTTTTTCCTCCAGAGACGTGCTCCAAACTGTTTCTTATTACACAGACTGGGCCCAGAGCTGAAGAGCTGTGTCTGACTTTAGGCTAATCTCCATTTGTCTTGTGTTTTGTGCAACAGAAAAACATTACGGGTCAAATCAGGACGAGATCGAACTCCTGCAGAGACCAAAGATAAACAAGGGAATGTGATGCAATAATGGACTGGAGGGTGGAATAATGGAGGGTGGTATCAAAATTCAATACCAGTTCAACATTAAGGCTAGACTCACAACTAGATTCTCATTTGATACTGGAAAGAATCACTCAAAAATTACAAAACTGGACCTTCCCTGAATAGTTTTTGAATGTGCTGACACAAAATCACAAATGTAAGGGGCCTCTATTACACTATTTTCTATGTTATAATGTTTCCTCATCTCAAACATTCCTGGAGTTGTGTTTCGTTTCATTCACACATTTTTAACACACAAGCCCTACATATTTAGGCGGAGTTCTTCTCTCAAAAAGAAAACACTCTTTGGAGATGTAGACAAACTAATAATAAAGGGTTACTCAAATGTGTGAATGAAACAAAACTCCAAAACACAACTGCAGGTCTGTTTTTGAAGAGGTAACAGAATTATAACAAGGCTTAACGCTCACAAGAGTTGATTTTTGTAATATAGGACTGTCTTTGTTATAACAGGTCTTTTAAGAGTCCGAATATCAATATACAATTATGATTATTTTAATAGCCAACTAGTCACGGATAATCCAATGAATCAACTTCAGTGTAATAGAGTTTTAAAGTATTGTAGCGACCTGGGCTGTTCTGGGAATTCTTGTGAAACAGACACAAACTTAAACATGTGGTTAAAATGTGAAGTGGATACATGTGCTCTCTCTTCACCTAACGTGGCCTTCAAAAACACAATAAAAATGAGGATTTCCAGGCAGGGATCAGATCGGACTTTTGTGGAATCCAAAGAGACAAAGGGAATTAGACAAAACAAGCCTCATTTTGTTGTTGGATTACTCTAATGAGAGTCAGATCAAAATAAACAGCTTTTTTTTTTCCACAGTTTAACAGTACAATGAGTAACTTTTCCGGTGGAGGGTTTGCGCCGTTCTCGTCTCCATGGAGATGTTAATGCTTTGCCATGAATGTTCCACAGTACGGCATTAGATGTACACATGGATTACAGGTATTTAATAGGAAAAAATGTGTTGAAATACATGCAGTAATACTGAGAGTGGGCTTGCCTCTCCATAGATCGAAGTTATAATTTGCCTGATGTTGTTGCCTGCTTGTTTCCATGGTTGCAAATAAGTTTAATGCCATACTGTGAAACATTCTAGACAGAATTAATACCTAATTTATTAATGAAGAAATCTGATCTTATCAAATTGTACTTTAGAGACTTTAGAGACTTTACAACAGAATGGTGAAGGTGAAGGTGAAGGGTTAGCCGAGTCACCAGCAATATGTGTCAGATGTCCTTCTTGGGTGTCACATGCCCTTCTTGTGTGGCAGGGCCCTGTGAGTCTTGACTCTTCTCTCCAATTTCTAAACACACATTTCTAAAATTCTAATCTTTATCCACTGTTTTTAAACTCTTGGTGAAACTTGTGCTTTATTTTAAATGTTCTTATTCAGATTTGAGAAGTTGGAGACACAGTGAGACCTTCGCTGCAGTTGGAAATGTATCATATTATTATTATTATTATTAAAAACACATGAGCTCAGATACTGGAACGTTCCAGGCTTTGGAGAGGAGCCCAAAAACTCAAAAACAGTTCCTGAATTTTGTCCTCACAGTTTATCTTGTCTTTATGTTATTTTTGTATTTTGTTATATAGGCTGCGTTCAGACTGCAGCCTGAAGTGACCCAAATCCAATTTTTTGGCTTCTATGTGACCTGTATCCGATCTTTTAATGACGGTCCGATTTTTTCAAATGCGACCCAGGCCACTTGGATATGTGGTCCTGAAACCGATACATATCCAATCTTTTGACATGCGACTTCAGTCTGAACGGCCAAAGCGCATTCATTCGACCTACACATCATCAACAAGCGACAAACGTCACTATTCTGCGCTGAAGCAGGCGGAAACCAGAACTGTAAAATCGCCAGGTGCTCAATGCTCGCGTCCATGTTTGGACAACTTCCGTAAACACAGAGCGCTGCGGATGACGCATGGGGTTGACGTCATCGTGTCCTCCAGTGCACATGCGGGACACTTTCGGGCCGTTTACCGTTCACACTGGAGTCACAGACAAGTCGCATTTAATTGGAAATGTGAACGACCTCGCAAAAACATCGGATTTCACAAAAAAATCGGAATTGAGCATTAAGCCCTGCAGTCTGAACGTAGCCTTTGGTAGAGTAAAAATAATCATGAATTAAACTTTTCTAGATCCATGGAGATGTTATTGTTTAGTTTGAAATGTTTCACAATATGCCATTAAATGTTTTTCTCTTGCTTTTATATTTCATTCCCTTTATTCTGATGACCTTATTAACAATGAGAATCTTTTAGGGACGGGCTGATATGGACTTTTTGAGCTGATATGATATCCGATATTTGGCCTGCAACTGTGGCCGAATACCACACCACAGATCTGACCTTGAACTTGACCTGCCTGGAGATCATGGTAAATGTAATGCTATACTGTGGAACATTCCAGTCAAAGCAAATACATCCCTGGAGACAACAGGCGGCTGACTCTCCAGCTCCTACCTTCTTGTCTCCATGGAGATGCTATTGCAATGACTGGAATGTACTGCAGTATGGCATTAAATCATCTATCTCCATGGAGACAAGTATGTCAAGTTACAGGTCAGATCCCTGGAGAGGCGAGCTCACACAGTAAGAATGCATGTTATTTAAGGTGTATTTTAGGCTGCGTTCAGACTGCAGCCTGAAGTGACCCAAATCCGATTTTTTGGCTTCTATGTGACTTGTATCCGATCTTTTAATGAAAGTCTGAACGACACAGATCCGATTTTTTCAAATGCGACCCAGGTCATTGGATATGTGGTCCTGAAACCGATACATATCCGATCTTTTGATATGTGACTTCAGTGTTAACGGCCAAAGCGCATTCATTCGACCTACACGTTATCAACAAGCCACAAACGTCACTATTCTGCGCTGAAGTCGGCGAAAATTGTTAATGAACTCCGTGTCACTGAAGCGAAGCACATCACCACTCACGGCTCCGTCTCCGAATTCACACGTTCCTTTCAACGGACGTCGCTGCCGCTGCCCCACAAAACGCCACAGCCAAAAACCTCGTCCTTCTCCTTCTCAATCTCCTCCTTAAAACAAGTAAGTTGTTCATGTTCTGGCTCCGGTACGAGAGAAACTTTAAAATCGCCAGGTGCTCAATGCTCGTGTCCATGTTTGGACAACTTCCGTAAACACAGAGCACGCTCGCTGCGGTTGACGTCATCGTGTCCTCCAGTGCACATGCGGGACACTTTCGGGCCGTTTACTGTTCACACTGGAGTCACATACAAGTCGCATTTAATTGGAAATGTGAACGACCTTGCAAAAAACATCGAATTTCACAAAAAAATCAGAATTGAGCGTTAAGCCCTGCAGTCAGAACGTAGCCTTAGTTATTGATATGATGCAAGATAGACAGGTTTAATGCCATACTGTGGAACATTACTGGCAATGTAACACATCTAAAGACAAGCAGACCACAGGCCCCCAACCATAAAAATTACATAGTGAAGCTTTAAACCTGTCCCTGGCTTTGTTTATGTGTTTGTGTTGTTTTGATGTACCCAGTGTATTTTGGTTTCTCACCTCCACGATGTCGTCGTCAAACAGCAGCCAGAAGCCATGGCTCTTGACAATGGTGATGTAATGTCCCCGATTCGGACCGCTGAAAAACAAACAACAAAACAACCGCAGGTGAGGATTATGCTGACGATAATGAAAGAGTTCACAAGAGTATGACGTAATCCAGCTAAAGGTTTATAGAAACAGTTTAAAGAGGTGTGAAAACAGATTAAGACTGCACAGTTTATCACAAAAAAGTGAAGCAAACATCTGTAAACAGCCAATCTACAAAAACAGCAGGTTTAACAGAGATACGGATTAGGGATGTGTGAACGATACTATACTACTACTGACTGAGGTATTGAAAGGTAGGAAAGTGAAAATACCTTTGCAAAGTGACAAATAATATAAAATAAAATCTGTTTCATTCCTGATTTAGTTACAGATTTAGTCTCTGGTTTAATCCCTTTTTAGTATTTTTTAGTCCCTTTTTAGTCCCCATTTTAGTCCTTGTTTTAGTCCTGGCTTAGTACCTCCCATAGTGCACGTCCACAGCCACCAGGTCATACATGTGGTCTGGGTTAGTCCTGATTTAGTCCTGATTTAGCCATGGCTCTGTCCTGGCTCTGTCCTGTCTCAGTCCTGTGCTCAGTCCTGTGCTCAGTCCTGTGTTCAGTCCTGGTTTAGTTCCGGTCTAGTCCTGGCTCAGTACCTTCCACAGTGCACAACCACAGCCACCAGGTCGTACATTCGGTCTGGGTTGGTGGCGTCTCCGGAGGTGTTGAAGAGGCGGAGCTCCAGGGGGAAGACCACACGGTAGGACAGTTTGGTGTAACGATGAAGCTGGTCCATGTATTTAAACCTCTTCAGGTGCAGAGCCAGGATCATCGGCAGCTTTTTCACTCGCATCCTGAACACAAACATGAGGATTTCAGATATATTCACTCAAAAATTATCACCATGTCACCTTTAATTAATTTAAAAATGCTATATTCACAAAAAACAACGTATTAACATTAAGTCACTCCCCCTTCAGAGCGCTCACACATCGTATATGTGACCTTTTTTGTTCTACATAAAAAAAGTTTGGTTTTTGATATAGTCATAGTGATATCAAAATCAAGTTGGAAATGTTAGTACCATATAAAACTCTTCAGGAGTTTTTTTCACAGTTATGTCATTCCTATTCAGTGTAGCTCAATCCTGAATCTACATTTGATACTAGTTTTATTTGTGATTAGTATCTGGGTTTTGCTTAATACATGAATAATAACTCTAAAAAATACATGTCCATGTCTGACCTCTTCTGAGCCTCCTGTTTGCTGCGGCACTGCTCACAGTAGTATTTATACTCACTGCACAGAGTCTCTGTGTTGCTGAAGCCCCTGAAACACACAAGACATGAGAGTTTAAACATATGCACTGTCATTACACTGTCATTATACTGTTATTATAAATAATGACACAGAACAGGAGTGGTACCTGAGGCAGTGCGTTATGGACGTGTTTTGTTCCACGTCAACTGATAAATCCAGGAAGTCTTCATCTTTACTGCTCACCTAAAAACACACATTTATTATTAAAGATGCACTATGCAACTTTCTGGTGGAAGGTCCATCATCTGCCAGTCAACATGGAAAAGTTATTGCTTTGCCTGGAATGTTCCATGGTGTCGCATTACATTTATCTTTTTTTACATTACAAGTGTTTATACTGGTAAAAAATATCTTGGAATAACATACATTTTTACTGTGAGTGGGGCTGCCTCTCCCTAGACCTGACCATTAATTTAGTCTAGTAGCATCACCCATTTGTTGCTATAGAGTTGTATAATTTTATATCGTTGAACACTGAATGCAAAGCAATAACATCTCCATGGAGACAAGCAGGACGTGTACTAAAAAGTTACATAATGCAACTTTAAGGACAACAGATATTTATGACTCTAACGCTGCAGGCTGTAGTCTACTAAAGACGTGCTGTCAATAAATTGGTTGAATAAAAAGGAGGAGTGGCAAAAGCTCATGCAAGAAAAAAAGTACTAGGAAACAATGTATTTATATAAACTACTAATCTACTCACTGTATCACATGTTATTTTTACAGTGTGGAGAACTGTGTTACCATAAAACAAGTATCATCTGTCCGATGTTGCAACAGCTCCCAAAACACTTTATATTGTCCATTTGACTCATGAGATCATTCAGAAGGTTTTTGTTTCATGGCCAGAGTTAATGTATCATTATCAAGGACAGACATGGACCAAGCCAGAAACAAGAAGGAGCAAAGGAGAGGGTCAGAGGAGCAGATGGAGCAGAGGACTCACAGTTTCACAGTTTAAACAGCGCGTCTCATTGGTTAGCGTTCCTTGGAAGATCTCGTGGACCCAGGTCTCTTGTGTCTCTTTGTGCCCGTCACCGTCGGTCCCGCTCTCGTTGACTCCGCCCCCTCCTCCTCCTCCACCACCGCTGCCACCATTTTGGATGAGCTTCCCGTTGTGCTGTTTTTCTTGGCTCTTCTCTTCTTGGAGCAGGTCAGCGATGGTGTTCAGGAGGTAGTTCAGAAACTCGTGAGCGTCCTGCTGCATGTAGTTATCAAACAGCTCTGAGGAAAACAAAGGAGGAGTTGTGGCATCGCTGGACATAAACAGTTTAAAGAAAGAATGTAATTATAATCTATGACCTGTGGATCTTTATGTTATAATATGGACATTTTAAATCACAATATGGATCTAAAATGACTTAATAAAAGAAACAACACTTCTGCTTTAGAGAACTGTAGTGTCCAGTGGGAGCTGATAAACGTCATCACAACAAAGAGCCATGCAGCTGTTGGTCTCTCCTATGAATAGCTGCAGAACACACCGCGAATAATGGATTTTTTTTTCTCATTTGTACCAAAATAACTAAGTGACGCTACATATTTCACTGATTAAGAAAATAAAACTGGAGGATGAAATAAGTACAAAGTAGTGGGCGTATACTCGTGGCCGTGAAAACTGGAGTAGATTGGAGCAATAACGTCTTGAATGCAGGAGAATAAATATTACTCAAACATGCATGAATCACTCCCAATACAAAATAAATACAAAGTGTGCATATGATTAGAGAAACCCATTATAACTTGGTTTAAAAGTACATTTATCAGAATCTCCTTTAAGTGGGATTTTATTGAACATCATTAAATTTGGTTTTCACCATTTTCTTTTCGGAGGCGAGAGATGAACTTCTTTGGGGGTATGACGCCCACTTTCTTCTTCTGCGTGGCGATGCTGTTGAACAGGTCTGACAGACAAGTGAGCAGAGACTCCTTACGGCGGGGCTGCACCTGTTAAACACAAATTGACAACAAATTGGGAAGAAATGTGTTATGGTGTGGTATTTTCGGAATTAATTTATCACATTATTTTATTGTGACAGGCCTACAAGCACCTATCAGAGATCCACGCACTTGTCAAGTTAACCAAGCTGGATGATTTTCCTCTTGTTGAAATGTAAACTCACCTTATAGGCCAAGACCTTCTCTCTGAACGGTCGGCAGAAGTAGAGAGCCTGCAGCACCGAGTTACAGTAACACGTGTTTCCAAACTGCAAAAATAACACAAACAGACAGCTTTAGTTTTATACTTTTATAATTAAAGGTGCACAATGTTACTTTTCTGAGGGTCAGTCACCTGCTCATCTCCATATTATTGTTGCTTGGAATGTTTCATAGTATGGCATTAAGCCTGTCTATCTTAATGGAGACAAGCAGGGTATGCCAACAGATCAGTCTGCCCTAGGGCAGATGTGGCTACAATAGTAGTTTACCACTGGAGTGTGGAGTGAATGAATAATGCTCTGTACTTCTGCATTTTGTTGCATTTAAATGGTTAAACAGTTTTTCCAGAGCAGATTTCAGTCTGTTTAATGAAATAATTAAATTGGTGGTTTTCAGATTCTTCCCAGATGGAAGCAAAAGACAGATTTCCCAATTGATTACACTATATTTTGTCATGAAATCTCCAAAAGGCAAATGCTCAAATGTTGAACAAGATCATTTCTATGAGTGACTAGATCCAAGAACATACGCATTTGAACAATATTAACTTTAACTGCCCTATCTGTATTAAATGATTGACCTCTAAAATGTTGTAATGTCATCTGAAACCCAGCAATCCATATGTTGCAGTGACAACACACTGGGGGTGTTCTGCCTGTATGTCTATGTATGAATGTATGAACGTTCGGTAGTTACCATGGAGATACACTGCACATATTAGCAAACACTGGCAAAAAAAATCTGATCTGAGAACTAAAGTAAAAAATACAAAATGGATTTAAACAGCGCATTTTCAGGAGCCTGTGATCAAGATGATGGTCCATGGTCCTGTTTAAGCGTTTGATTTTCAACAAAATGGTGAGAGTGACTAAACTGATGGCTAATGCACTTACATTAACCAGTCCAAAGTAGTGCTCATTTACGGGGAACTGTTCTGGTCCAATCTCCTTTTCCAGAGCAGAGGCATTGGCGCCCTGAGGAAAAACAAACACAGAGATCATACATTATTATTCCAGCATTATTGAATTTGTATTATTTATTATTAAACTGTCATTGCTATTATACTGTTCAAAGGCCCTGTATTAGATATTTTCCCCATCCAAAATGTATTGTATGCTTCCTGCTTCCTGTTCTTTGTGGCGTTTTCCTGCGTTTCTGAGCTCTTTTTTTGCAGCTGTGTCCTGTCTTGTCCTTCAAATAACAACAATAATGCTCCCTACAGAGAAACCGGTTATGGGTTGGTCGATATTTGTGCTTTAAAGAGCAATATTACGCTATTTTCCTCATGACAAACATACCTGGAATTCTGTTTTGTTTCATTCAAAAATGTTTAACGCACAAGTCCTGCATATTTAGTCTGAGTTCTTCTGTCAAATAGAAAGTATTTTGTCTGTTCCACCTTGTGATGTCATGTGGTAACACAGGTAGTGCTCCACTGTGTTTTTAAACTCCATGCACCTTCACTTGAACAAAATGTAAAAGGTAGCTGTTAACTTGAAAAAAGTAGCTATTAACTTGAAAACTACTGCTTCCTGACATCACAAGGTGGAACAGAGCATTTTGAGCTTTGGAGATGTAGACAGACTAATAACTAGTTTATTAGTCTGTCTACATCTCCAATTACTAAATTACTCAAATATGTATGAATGAAACAAAACACAACTCTGGGTTTAATAAGTTCACTAATACAAACTTTGGTTGACTCCAATGACTGATTAATCCACTAACAAATTTAGAACAACAGCCCTATGGAGGACTATATCACATGTAAAAATATCATTATTATATTTTTTTAATATTGTGTTTAAATAAGTCCTGTGGTAACAGTCCTATTGTATTGTCCCATTCCAGTAGAAGAGCAATGTGTAGGTGCAGGTCAGTACAGGCTCAGGGTCAGATGAGCAGATCATGAGATGCCAGAAGACTGACTGACCTGAGGCACTGACCTCTGCAGTTCACAAAGCTCCACTCATAAAACAATTATTTCCAATCAGCAAAGAATTAACTGTACGGTAGTAGTGTCTTCTGTTTTTGTAGTGTATGTCTTCTGTTTTCACAGACACTTCCCCCACATTACCTTGCTTCCGTCAGTGTGTCTCAGGACAGCTTTTCTTGCTTTAGATAACACTGTGGACCACACTGTGGTCCAAAGCAAGAAACATGATTTCACAAAGGCTTTTTGCCTTAAACGTTATTTTTAAAATAAAGAAAGCTTTCAGACATCTGCCATCTGAGTGTGCTAATGCTTTTTTAACTTTTAAATAGCTGTTCCTTGCATTTGCACCTCTACAAGAATTTTGGTGTGCGTTTTCTGTTTCATTTGATAAAATAGTATCTCTTACCAACACAGAGTGTAGAGTAAATGAGTATTCCATGAAATCGTATCTCTTACCAACACAGAGTGTAGAGTAAATGAGTATTCCATGAAACTGTTACGCAGTACTAATGATACTGCTACTGCTACTGCTACTACTATACAGCTACATTTTAAATTTGTTGTACAAAACACACATATAGAAAATTCTAAAAAAAAACTAAACCTGTTTCAACAGTCAACATCAAATTACATCTATGTCATCCCAAAAATTTATGAATTTTTACACTGCAACATCCTGTACTACCACACTGTTCTTACTTACTACATGATAAATAAAATGTATGAATAATATCCATAAACTATTTGAACCTATTCGAAATAGATCTACAAAATACTGACGGGAATTTTCCATCTTCATTCTCCTCTAAACACACCCTGCACTTGGTACTTGCTCCATCACAAACAATAATAAAACTCTAAGCATAAATGTGCAGAGGTTTGCCACAGAATCCCAGAGAACTTTACACCAACATAAAGCAGAAAGAGGACAACAACAGATAAACAAAATCCACTAGAAGATCCCAGACTGTGTTCTTCCACAAAGCTCTAAAAATACAACTCTTTATCTGGGAGTTTCGCCTCTGACACATGACATGATCAGTTTTGTTTATTAATAACACTACTTTAACATTTATCAGCACTCTTTTACAACATAAATGTGTATTATGCGTTTGTTAAATGAAACTTAAGTGGAATAACGACAAAAGTCCAGGAATTCCATTTACGAGTGGGATGAGTAAACAACTTTGTGCTCTGATCTGGGATGAGGTTAGCAGGCTAAGCTAGCGACTGCGTGCCCTGCCCTTCCCGCATAAACAAACTACTTTAACACAAAATCACACTTTAAATTTCACCGCATTCACTTTGTACTTCATGTGGATAATGAACGACCCTTCTGCAGTGTGTCTGATCGGTAAAAACATTCGTATCGCGGGATTAAACTAATGTTAGACTTGTGTTATTATTGCCCTATGAGGTTAGCATGGATGCTATCTGTGCGATTCTCTAAAACCCAGGCATTTCGCGCGGGGGCGAGGTCACACTTCACTAATTTTAAACATTATCTTTAAAAACACTAAAAAATTTATTACACATTTTGATCATTATTAGGTGTTAATGTCAGGATTACACATTTTTGTATTATCTTAATAATGCATTAAGTGAAATGTTGACCAATTTTGTTATTAAGTGTAACTACTTATAACTATGTGAAATAACTTAACCCAGTCATATTTTTTTTTATCTTAAATTTATCTAAATGCTTGTTCCTTAACAATTTCTTAAGCATATAACCCCAAAACTGACTCTAAACTTTAATCATTTCATAATAAAAGTCACATTCACTCCTATAACTCTGCCTGCATATTTCAAACGCCTGGGATTTGTGCGCGCCGCTTTAGCTTAGCGTCAGCCGCGTGCCGTTCCACTCACCATCGTACAAATGGAGGCGATCTTCCGGACTGTCATGAGTAGTTCCATCCGTGAGCCTCCTCCATGCTGCTGCGAAGCCCGGTTGGAAAAGGTGCCGCTCCCGGTGGGACTCGGAGCGGTGGAGGCTGCAGAGGGAGCCGCTGTACACGCCTGTCAGGCTCTGGTCCCCGGCTACGAGACTCTGCGCTCTCCGGGACTTCCGCTCCGCTCCGTCACCGCTCCGTCACCGCGGCGCACGTCAGGGTCACAGATTACGGGATGATTTGGTATTTTGAATTGGTCTGTTTAGTGTTATTTAAAAAGTTGTGTTTACTGTTTGAAGCTCACACGCAGTTCTTATCATTTAAAGAGGCTTAAATTGGTAAATGAAGGCTTAATACACCCTTAATTAGTCAAAAATAAACAGACCTAGGCTTACTCCATAGGCCAGGGGTCAACATTTTTCCTTTACAAAACGAAAATGTCAGAGCTACGATTTAGCAGCCGCAGGAAATAAAGTATACATAAGAGCCATGGCAAGACTTAGATGGGGTCCAGTTAGATAAAACAAAACATTATTCATTTATGAGTGCACAAAGTCAGGCATCAAAATGATAGATTTACAATAATAATAGGCATTTAATTCATCAAATTTGAGTTATTCTGGACAATATGTGTAATTCAGAAATTTTTTGGCGAGCCACTTGGCAGGGGTTGAAGACCTACTGGTAGTTTACAGGTTGGAGACCCCTGACATACACAGCAAATTGAAAAGTGTTAAATTAACAGTGTTGGTGTTGTTGTGAGTAAAGTGAAGAACATCCAGATGTTTCAACATAGTCAAGAGTTATTTCAACTATGACAGTGCTGTAGAGTAAAATAAGTAGTTGTTGATTCACAGTGTTGACATAAAAATGTGTAGTTGTTGATTCACAGTGTTAACGTCAAACACTTAGAAAATGTCTATTTTGAATATCATACTACATCAGTGTTGGGCTTTTGTAATGTTTCCAGCAGGAGAACTGAAGGTCTAATACTAGTAGTAGTATTGAGAGGTAGTAAGCTAACTAACTTATCTGTGACAATCAATGTTGCTGTCACTGATGTCCATGAAAATTGGAATGAAAAATAGCCACAAATTGTACTGAAGTAAGAGTAACATTACTTAAAAAAAAACAATTTCTCAAGTTTAAGTAAAAAGAAGAAGTCCAAAAAATGTGTTAAGTTTCTAAGACTAAAAGTATTCGGGGAAACTACTCAAGTAACTTAAGTTAAAAGTAACTGGACGAAACATCTTATTTGTCATTTAAAGTTAATGCAGTTGCGAGGATGAAACATGAAATAGTACTCATGCCTTGTATTTTCACAGTGAGAAGAAAGTACAATATCTGTAAATAGTGATGCAAGTAAATGTATTAGGTCATAACACATTATGTCATTGTAATGCTTGTGACACCTGCCCTACACTCACTGTATGTAATATAACGATTTAGGACAGTTATGAGCTATTTATGAGCCATTTCAAGAGATAAATACAAAAATGTTGGCGATAAAATAATGTACGTTTATTTCATTGTTGTCACCACACTTTTGTGTAGCGTGTTGAGGAAGGATACTGTATCAAAGGTAGAATTATTACAATAATTTGAATCAAAAGGTAGTAGTATTCTGTAAAAATTAAATATCTTCAAGTATGATGTCTTACCCAATACAATATCTTAACATGCTATTGACCTTTAGTCAAAAAGAGTAATGATACTTTTTTTTTAATTTATTTATTTTTGTATTTTCTTTAGGGTGAGTGTCTTGCTGCTGGTTCACATGCATCCCCAGCTCCTAAAGGCTGCAGTGGAAAGATGAAGGCTCAAGCCATTAACCATCTCGTCAGAGATTTGTAAGTGTGTCAAGAAATGGTTGAACTGATAATAATTTCGTAATTCACTAACTGAATTTTGCTTATGTGCTAAGTAGTTGTAATTTTTTCCTTAATCTCATTGTATTTTTGTGATTAATGGCATTTAGGTGTTTTGTTTCTTGTGGGTCTTGCATTTAAAAATTACCTTTTCTAAGGGGCTAAATTTTTTTCAAATTAACTCTTCGTTAATTATTTGAATGGTTCATGTATACAAAAACGTACAGCTCATGCAACAGAGTATCGTAACCTGCTTAATAGGAACAAACAAATAATGATATATGCACCATAATATATTTACTATATATTTACTTTTTAATTTTTATTCATGGCTCAATAAGTATTGCATAGCCCGGTTTTGCAAGATCTCATTTTTGGAGATGAGCATGCCTGAATTCTATTCAAATGGAGATCTTGATTCATCCATGGACTGCTTGCATTGAAAAATCAACTTTAAAAAAATAAATGACAATCATTGTGACCAACTGTTGAGGCCACAGAGAATTCCTGCTGTCAGTTGGATTTTCCAGAAATAGTATTGTGTCATATGACTTGGTTAAATTGAGTTGATTGTATGATGTGCTTTGTTTTAATACAAGTTAAGCTGAAATGGAATTTTGTGGTGGTTTTCATTATTTTACTTTTCTAAAAGGGATTATGAACTTGAATGACCACAGCATTTACACCGTATTTAGTGAAGAAAGAGATACTATTGAATAGTGTAACATGAAGAACACTCTACACTATTTCTACTTCATCAAGTGTTCAAACATAGCAATATAGAGTTATTAGTTTTTCATGATACACTAGTGTAAAAAAATCAGATCTTAATCAGTGTCAGAATCAACTATGAGGAGTGTGGTTACATCACTTTACCAGTGTTGAGCCTTCTACACTTTGGAAAGTGTAGTTTTAACTCATTTTATTGTGGACCCCATATGACATGGTAAAAGTGTTAAAATTAACAATATATGAGTTAAATGAACACTTGAATTTGCTGTGTAGGCCATATAATACAACAGTTTTATTATGAGACAAAGACCAAAAAGTACATAACCTATTTAACTAATTGCTGGGTTTCAAATTGCATCACAGCATTCTATAGACCAATAATTCATATTTTACAAGCAACATCACACTGGGGGAGTTCTACATGTATTTCTCATGTTTCTGCAGTTACCATGGAGACAGAATGCACACAACACTGACAAAAAAGTTTTAAAACAGTATGAAAAATACGAAATGGATTCAAACAGCACATTTTCAGGAGCCTGTGATCAGTGCGAGTGGTGGTTGTCCTGTTTGCTGTTGGCTCATGCCTGTGGCTGTAATTTTATGTGTGAGAGACTTGAACAGCACAAATCATCCCACTTGTAGTTCCAACCAAGTCAGCTCTTTCTGGTCAGATTGTGTTAAAATAAAACTCAGATGAAGTCTAAGTTGAGCATCGGAGCTTCTAACAGAATAGAGCTTTCAGTGATGCTAATTGTAGGCACTGCTCTGTCAGAAGCTCTGTTAGACTCTATTTTTTATTTCTACGCAGTCTGACCAGAAAGAGCTGACTTAGTTGAAACTACAACAAGTGAGATGATTTGTGCTGTTAAACAAGTCTCACACACATAAAATTACAGTCACAGGCATGAGCCAACAGTAAACAGGACAAAGTTCATACCGCTCGTACTGATCACAGGCTCCTGAAAATGTGCTGTTTAAATCCATTTTGTATTTTTCAAACCATTTTAAAACTTTTTTGACAGTGTCTACTAATGTGTGCATTCTGAATCCATGGTAACTGATGAACTACAGGTACATGTAGAACACCCCCAGCATGATGTCCCTGCAAAGTAACAATAGAAATGATCAGGTTCAACATTTGTGAATTCTCTTGTCCCCATCTGGGAGTATGACATCATCAAACTTGAATCTGAAAACCACCAAATGCACGATGATGAAATAACAACAAAATAAAATTGGTCTTCATGAATAAAACACCCTAAAAACTTGTGATCGAAAAACACAATCTTGAATAAGTCAATATTTAGACCAATATTAAGGTTTGTAGTCCTGCCCACAGACTTTATGCTTTCAGAAGAACGCCTCAACGCCTATAACACGAAGAGTTCATTGTTATATAACTAATGTTTTGGCTGTCTCGATTAATTGACCCTTATGTGTTGGATGGGCATTCCTATAGTCTGCCCCTGTGCAGTAGTGTGTAAGTCTATCACATCACCATTCACCGGTGCGTAAAACTATTAGGGGGCTGTCCGAACACTGGGGGCCGTGCTCTTCTGACCAACCACTTTACGCACAGACCAGACCAACTTTACGCACAGTCCGGACCACCGCTGCCCGACATTTGGACTCCATATGGACCCGGACTGCGCTACGGGGCTGTCACGTAAGCACCGGGCACAAACCTATGGAATATATTTTTATTTTCAATCATCTTTGACGCTCTGACACGGATGGAGAGTGGAGTGTGGAAACTGCGCAAACTATCCCCAGATCAGGCGCACTTCCTTCGGGTTTAAATGAAGTTAGATGCGGTTTTCTCCAGCGGTGGTGACTCTGGACCTCAACAAGTAGAGAAGAGCGGAGGAGCTGACAGCTGCATTGGGGTCCGGGCTGGAGGTGCATGCGGGAAAAGACGCACTCTGAGCCGGGAAGATGAACAGCGGAGGCTCGGGGAACTTTCTGCTGGTGCCCATCCCGGAGTATCCGCTTCTAGACTGCGTCCCCAACAAGACAGTGAAGCTCGCGGTGCTCGGAGCCAGCAGCGTGGGCAAAACCGGTACGTAATTTACACCTATATTTAAGTTTCTCCAAACCACATAAAATTAGCTGTAAAAATCCACGTAAAAAGTGCATTACCTATAAGATTTAATAGAGACTCAAATTAAGTTTTAAGACGTGACAACAGGTGGCGACAAATCCAAGTTTAGGTTATTTAAATAGTGTGGCCTACAGTTTGTTTGTTTTTTTCAATGGCTTTCTGAAACTTTTGATAAATCCGGTAAATGTTTTACACACTTTGCAAAGCTTCACACAGCACCCAAAACAATTCAGAACATATGAAAAATGTAGCTGTTTAGACAAAACCTTACAAGACTCTTGGAAAAAAGGACTCTGGTTAAAACATAAACACAATCTTCAGATTTATAACCTTATCTAACCATTCAAATATAAACTAAATATAGGACCTTTACATTGGCCATCTGTTCATTTTTATGGAGGGGAGAAACTCTTTTTCTCTCACATTTGCAGTTTTGACCTTTATTTAAACAGGGCCGCTTAGACTCATGGAGTAGATTACATTCAAACTGCAGGAAGACCGCACACTATCTAGGAATCAAACCTAGAATCTTGCTGTAAGGAGGAGAGCTGTACCAATATGCCACTATGCAGCCATTAGTTGGTCGGAAGTCGGTTATTAGTTGTAGTAGTAGCATAGTATTAATAGTATTAGTATTAGTTAGTAATAATAGTAGCAGTAGTAGTAGTAGGGTCCAGTCAAGTGGTAACGGAGGGAAACAGAGGCAGATTTTTTACATTCAAATGTCTCTTATTCAGAAACTAGAGGGACTATTGAAATAAGTAAAGTATCAGAATGTAGGAAAGAGTTACACTCCAACAGGGTAAAGTTAAACCTGTGATATTCTTTCAAGTTGTTGACAAAAAATTAAAAAACTCATGTCGATAAAGGAGGGAATGAAATATGCAGCACTTTTTGGGCAATAAATCCAAACAGTGATAACTCTTGGTTCTCACTTACATATCCTTAACAAACTGGTTTGAATATTTGCTTCATATAGTTTTCTACCATATGGTACAAGATTAGGTTGAAAAACCTCTTACTTTTTGAGTCATGAGATTTTTTATTAAGAAAGGTCATGGTAACGGAGGGAAAAGTAACGGAGGGAAAATTGTGCAAGCAAGTAGAAGGTGCAGGATTTTGCATAATTTGTCAACTTTTTTCTTCCAAATAATTTAATATTACTTCAAAATGAAAGGAAACTATTTCTATAAAACATGTCAGTCCTTCCAAGCAAATTTTTATCATTTAAATTTTTTTTTTTGAAAAATCATGTGCCTTCATCAACAGTTCAAAGATGGAATAACACAAGATATGATGAAATACATCCATTTATTGACATGATTTGCAGGTCTTTGAAATTTGGGAAATAATTTTTGTTCCATGTTTCATACATGGTCTGTTTAAAACATATGTAACTTTAGAACCAAAAATGGTACAGAAAAAAGGTCAACAAAAAATGTATTCAACAGATACATATGTACTCTAGTTTATGAAAACTAGAGTACATATGTATCTGTTGAATACATTTTTATATCAGATGCATTAACTTGAATTTTTGGCCTTGCTGTTTACTTCTGCTTTACCAGGTCCAGTAGTATGTTTACATTTCAGAGGCTCAAAATGCTCTGTTTCACCTTTAGATGTCATGAAGCAGTAATTTTCAAGTTAAGAGCTCCTTTTACCTTCTGATTGACAATTCCAAGACTCATCCAAGTGATTCTAGGGAATGGAGTTTAGAAACACAGTAGAGCACTTTATATTACCACATGATATCACAAGGTGGAACAGCCGAAATATGCAGAGTTTGTGTGTTAAACATGTGTGAATGAAACAAAACACAACTCCAGGTCTGTTTGTGATGAGGAAACTACATAATAATGTAGATCAGAAAACAGCTTAATATGGGCCCTTTAATAAATGCACTAATCTTTGTCCATTATTTTGAAGACTTATGGTGACATTTATGGGGCCCATTTTAGTACAAAAGTCATTCAGAATTTTCCATTTTCCATCAAAGTTTGAAACATAAAGTGGATTATAATAACTCGAATGACCAACTTCCACTTAAGCCCAAAAGTAGCACAAAATAGTGGTACAAAAATACTCAAGTACAAGTAAAAAAAATGGGAAAACTGCAACTCAAGTAACATCGATTTATAATTTAATAAAGGATGAACATTAAATAAGTCACAAAATCTGGTATTTTCAAAGGACAGACATGAAAATGAAACAAACTAAATCATATCAGAAAAAGTGGCACAAGAAACACAAATGTTCAAATCATTTAAAGGTTCAGTATGTAACTTTTTTGTGCAGGGTCCAACACCATACACTTATATGTCTTTTATTTACTAAATATAAGTGTTCCCAAAAGATATAATAATTTGTAGAAAAATCAGTATGTATTCTTATTGTGAGTGGGGTCATCTCTCCACAGATCTGACCTGTAATTTGGTGTGGTAGTGTTACCTTCTTGTTTCCATGGAGATTGGTTAACTGGCCTATATTATGCTATTTTTAAAATGATGAAATTGATTTGATATAATGTTGTGTTTTGTTTGACACACAAACACTGCATATTTAGACTGAGCTCTTTTCTCAAACTGAAAACACTCTGTTCCACCTTGTGACGTCATGTAGTAATAAAAGAAGTGCTCCACTGTGTTTTTAAACTCCATTCGTCTTCATTAAAATCACTTCAATGATGTCAGCCCTGGAGTTTCCAAACTCTACTGAACTAAATGTAAATGTAGCTGTTAACTTGAAAACTACCACTTTATGACATCAGAAGGTGGAACAGAGCATTTTGAGCTTTGGAGATGTGGACAGACTAATAATAAATGGTTACTCAGCTCACTCCAGGTCTATTTTTGAGGAGGAAACAACATTTTAACATGGCTTAAAGCTCTCAAGAGTCAATTGCTCTTATAATAGAACCTTTTAAAACCATATTGTTTTTGTATGAGGACAGCAGGTTTCTGACTCTGACCATGCACCAAAAATGTTACTGTGACATTTCATACTGTCAACACAAAGCTCTTGTCACTTGTAGACTTACTCACAGCGGGAGGGTTCTTGTGAATTCTTGGGGAACTATTTATCTCACTTTAAACTCTCCCATTCCCACACATAGGCCCAGTATACGCTCTATTTTAGTTTGGCATTCTAAATATGTCATGTCTGCTGTCTCCGAAGAGGTCTGAGCTGAAGTGTTTGAATGTTTCACTTGGAGTTATCTGCTGTGAGTCGACTTAAGGCTCAGTGTCATTGTGGAGCAGAGCAGAGAAGAGGATCAAATACTGACCCAAACATGAACTAAAACTAAAACCAGGGCTGTCAAAACATAGACTCCCAGAAAACCATTACTAAATCTAGGAATCAAATTTGCATACTCATTTGAAGAAGCATGAAACTTTGCAGTGACATCACGCTGGTGGTTTTCTACGTGTATCTCTGGGGTGGAATATTCAGCAGTGACCATGGAGACATAATGCACACATTAGCAAACACTGCCAAAATGGTTTTAACCCTCTCCAGGCAGGCGTTGCAGATTTGCAACAGCTAAATGCCAATTACCTACGTACTCCACATCCATATTTTATGAGCTTTTTTTACCCAGGAGCCTTTTCTCCCATCCATGCTGATAAACGTGGACGATGCAGACTGTGCAAGAATGGCTACTCGCAAACGGCCTGCCAGAAGTGCAAAGTACTTTTGTTGTTTACAAAGGATAAAAATTGTTTCTTGTAGTACCACACGAAAAAGTGATGTTGTTCTGCCACTGTAAAGCTCTGTTACACTGTGCTTTATGTTTTCATTGTTATGAAAAGTGGTATACACATGAAGTAAGCGTTCATATCCTTTTCAGTGTTCAGTGTTAATTTACCACACTGGGCCAATGCTGCAAATCTGCAACATCCCAGAACTCACTGGATGTGAAGGTCTCTCTCAAAAAAAGTCAGGATTGTATATTACTACCTCATATGATCATTTTCCCCAAATATCAGATTTTTCCTGATACTAAAAATTAATTTGAGCCTGAGAGGGTTAAGATAATTTTGTAACATTTTCAGGAGCTTGTGATCAATATGAGCGTTCATGGTCTTTCTTAGGTAACTGATTTTCAACAAAATGGTGAGAGTGGCGAACTGAAAAATGTTTTTTTTTTCCACAGCCGATGCAGATAATGATTGTTTAGACTTCAGAATGTGTGCATTGTGTCTCCATGGTAGCTCCTTAACATTCGACCATCAGATATACATGTAGAGCACCCCCAGCGTGATGACACTTCAAAGCAGCAATAAACTTCGACCATTAAAATGAGTGATGGCGGAGGAGCTCGGTTTGGTCAGGAGTGTCTCTGCTGGAGGATTTGACTGCAGTGTATGCTTTGGGACACAGACACAGGGATAATATGCAAATTCCACACAGAGAGACCACCCAGGGATCACACCTGGGACCCTCTTGTGGTGAGGCGTGATAAGTGCTCGCCTTCAGTCTTTCTGTCAGTTAGTAAATTTGAAATGTGATTTGAACTTTGAGGAGAAAAATGTGGGCTGGATTCAGGAATGTCTTTTCCAGATGCTGCTGACTCCAGATGTTTTACTCATGTGTTTTTAGCCTGTCAGATACAAAGAATATGCAGTGTAGTTATCATAGTATTAGAAATTGTTGAAGTAGTAAATAGTAGGCTATTAAGCGGGTACTAACCTCACTTCTACTTTTTACATTTTACTTTAAGAGTAGTACTTGTACATGTACTTGAGTAATATATTTTGAAGTAGCCGTACTGAGTATCAGTAACAGCAGAAGCAGTAGTAGTTGCAGAAGTAGTTTTAGTAGTACCAGTAGTAATAGCAGTAGTAGTAGCAGTGGTAGTTGTAGCAGTAGTATTAGTAGTAGTGGCAATAGCAAAACTTGAATTTCCCTCAGGATCAATAAAGTATCTCTATCTATCTAGTAGTGTCAGTTGTAGTAGCTGTAGTAGTAGTAGTAGTAGTAGCAGCAGCAGCAGTAGTACCTATAGTAGTAGTAGTAGTAATAGTAATAGTAGTTGTTGTGGTAGTAGTAGCAGCAGTAGTAGTTGTTGTAGTCGTAGTAGCAGTATTAGTACTAATAGCAGTGGTTGTAGTAGTAGTAGCAGCAGCTGTAGTAGTTGTAGTAGTAGGAGTAGCAGTAGTAGTAGTAGTAGTAGTTGTTGTTGTAGCAGCAGCAGTAGTAGCTGTAGTAGTAGCCGTAGTAGTTGTAGTAATAGTAGCAGTAGTAGTAGTAAGTAGTAGTAGTAGTAGTAGTAATTAGTAGTAAGTAGTAGTAGTTGTTGTTGTTGTAGCAGCGGCAGCAGTAGTAGTTGTAGTAGTCGTAGTAGTAGTAGTAATAGCAGCAGCAGCAGCAGTAGTAGTAGTAGTAGTAGTAGTGGTAGTAGTAGTTGTTGTTGTTGTAGTAGCAGTAGTAGTAATAGTAATAGTATTAGCAGCAGCAGTTGTAGTTGTAGTAATAGTAGTAGTAGCAGCAGCAGTAGCAGTTGTAGTGGTAGTAGTAGTAATAGCAGCAGCAGCAGTAGTAGTAATAGTAGAAGTAGTGGTAGTAGTAGTAGTTGTTGTAGTAGCAGTAGTAGTAGTAATAGTATTATCAAGCAGCAGTTGTAGTTGTAGTAATAGTAGTAGTAGCAGTAGCGGTAGTAGTTGTAGTAGTAGCAGCAGTAGCAGTAGTAGCAGTAATAGTAATAGTGCTAATATCAGTATCAGTATCACTTTTAGACTTGAATCTACAAATGGAATCTCAACCCTGATCCCAACTGTACAGCCAAGACTCTTATTTGTCCGTGTGTGTCCGTGTCTGTGTCAGTGTGTGTCCGTGTGTGTCCGTGTGTGTGTCCGTGTGCGTCAGTGTGTGTGTGTCTGTGTGCGTCAGTGTGTCAGTGTGTCTGTGTGTGCATGTGCCCGTGTGTCCGTGCGACTGCTGCTCGGTGTTTACTGTGATTTCAGTTTGACGTTCAGAATCTGCAGAATCAGACTTTGTTCTGTTTGTTTAAATCACAAATGTCTGAAAAGCTCCAGCGCTCTGGTGTTATGTAGGTCACTGTCAGCCCACTGTGTCCAAGCAGGAAATAGTGATAGTAGTGGTGTTAGTAATTGAAGTAATAGTAGCAGTAGTAGTAGTAGTTGTGGTATGTGGTGTTACGTCGGATATAATAATAAAGGTTTTTTGTTTTGTTTCAGCTCTGATCGTGCGGTTTCTCACCAAACGTTTCATTGGAGATTATGAAGCCAACACCGGTCAGTTTGAGACACTCTTCAGTCACACTTACTTGTCCATTTTCCCTCTGTTCTCCTCTCTCACATCCATCTATCCCTCTCTTCCTCTCTCCTCCTCCATCTCATCTCTCTGTGTTCTTCAGGAGCTCTGTATTCGAGGAAGTTGCCCCTGGACACAGAGGACGTGTCTCTTCAGATCCAGGACACTCCCTGTGTGTCTCTGCAGGTACAATCATCTTCACACTACCAGTGTTGGGAAGGTGACTTTTAAAATGTATTCCCTTACAGATTACAGATTACACACCCCAAAATGTAGTTTGTAACGTAATCCATTAAATTACTTAAAGTGAGTAACGTAATCTGAATACTTTGGATTACTTGATATTGTCTTGTTTTTTAAAACTACATGAATGTAGCAACCACATCCTGAAAATTCACGTTTGTTCTCTTCAAATTGGCCCTTGTTTAGACCTGGTTTAGTCCTGGTTTAGACCTGGTTTAGTCCTGGTTTAGTCCTGGTTTAGTCTTGGTTTAGTCCTGGTTTAGTCCTGGTTTAGACCTGGTTTAGTCCTGGTTTAGTCCTGGTTTACTCCTGCTTTAGTCCTGCTTTAGTCCTGGTTTAGACCTGGTTTAGTCCTGGTTTAGTCCTGCTTTAGTCCTGGTTTAGACCTGGTTTAGTCCTGCTTTAGTCCTGGTTTAGTCCTGGTTTAGTCCTGCTTTAGTCCTGGTTTAGTCTTGGTTTAGTCCTGGTTTAGTTTAGTCCTGGTTTAGTCCTGGTTTAGTCCTGCTTTAGTCCTGGTTTAGACCTGGTTTAGTCCTGCTTTAGTCCTGGTTTAGTTCTGGTTTAGTCCTGCTTTAGTCCTGGTTTAGACCTGGTTTAGTCCTGCTTTAGTCCTGCTTTAGTCCTGGTTTAGTCCTGCTTTAGTCCTGGAAGTCCAGGAAAATACCGCCATGTAATCCATTTATTTCAACAAAGTAACTGTAATCCAATCACTACTCACTGAAACAGTAACTGTAACTGAATACAGTTACTCATAATTTGTACTCTGATTACGTAACTCTGGTACATGTAATCTGTTACTGCCCAACACTGCACACTACGCTCACAGACACACAACAGCACCCAGATAGCTCTCTGTTAGCGTCTCTGTTACTGCGTCCAATTGCATCTCTGTGAGGTTTTTGCAGAGTTGCGCTAAAATCACTAAATCCTGAACAGAACAGACAGTGAACAGGGAGCTGTGGGTGGATGTCACTGGCCACATTCTCAACACTTTACAAATGAGGAGAAAAGATGTCTGTGTAATCCTTCAGTCGCGCAGATATTATCCATAGTAAACAAAAGATTCAATTGTGTCGACAGGACAAAAGTTTAGAGTGAAAAACTTTTGTCGAGTTGGCAGAATAGAATTTTTCATTTGCAACAAGGAGAAAACTTCAACGGAGCACACGTCTGCATTCAGAAAGGCAGATGTTTGGGCCTCAACGCTAAGACAAGTTTTGATGCTTAAAGGGACAGTTGGGAATTTTGGACATAGGGCTTCATTTCCTAGTGAGCCAGAGTGTTGGAGACGTGTGGAGACACTTTTAAATATTCCATCCAGCCCTTGTATTTGCAGAGGTCGCTGGTGCTAGGCTAGTGCATGTCAATGGCCATAGTTATCCTGCCACTAAAAACAGTCTTACCCACTCCACAAAACACCTGAAGCAAATCTATTATTACGCCAGACTGTCGATGTAAATGTCTGTGTTGATAGAATAATGTTTGAAATAAAACTAACCTTGCATCTCATGAATTGCCTCATGTTGGGGAACTATTTTCTCATATATCAGTCCGCCGTTGTCAAGTTTTCTATCAGGAAGTGCAACTCGCTGCTGCTGCTCAGACATAAATCCTTCAAATACAAGGTTGGTTTTAATTCTAAAATTATTCTATCGACACAGACACAGTTTTGTGGAGTGGGTAAGACTGTTTTCAGTGGCAGGCTAACTATGGCCATTGACATGCACTAGCCTAGCACCAGCGACCTCTGCAAATACAAGGACTGGATGGATTATTTTAAAAAGTGTCTTCACACGTCTCCAACACTCTGGCTCACTAGGAAATGAGGCCCTATGTCCAAAATTCCAAACTGTCCCTTTAATAAACATTACAGCAACACAAACAGAAGTATGCTTCAATAAAACAACTGGGTATCTTAGCCTATTATCTCACAGTTTACTAGTCCTACACCTATCCTACACTGGAATATTGAGGTATGGGCCTTTCATGACTTAATTATTCTGTATTATGTAGATCTGATTAAGAGTTAGATTTGAATCTTTGTGGGTCATCTCATTTTTTAATATCCTGCTTCACTGATTCCTCTAGATTAGATTCTTGGATCAGTTTAAAGTTTAGATTTTAATCTGTTTGTGAATTCTTCTGGACATGTTTCAAATTCATATATATATTTGAAGGTTTGTTTTGGATGAGGAAGTGAGATAGGAGCTGGTTTAGATCTTTGGCCTGAGTGTGAGTCCTCTGCTCTTATCTCCCTGAGGAAACAGCCCTGCTCCTGTAAACACACAAACTCCCCGACAGTCCAGACAATTAAATAAACTCAGTTAGAACAGCCACTCCCCCAAAGTCAAGACAACTCAATCAGAGGCATTATAGGCCCACTGCAGGTCAAACAGCAGCCGACTCCAACCAGGAAGGAAATCTGAAACTAAATGCTTTTTACCGATAAAGTCCATCTAACTTTACTTTGCACATTTGTGACAATATGAAGACATATACTAGTCATTTTTTTGCTATATTAGTACAGGTAATACTAAGTTGTTTTGTGGTTAATGTAATCAGGAGTGAATGCTAAACAGGGGGTCACCCTAGGGTCAAAGGTCAGAGGTCAGGGTGTCCATAAATATGACCTCTGAGGAGCGACCACCTGCATCAGGGCGACAGATACAGCAACAAAAGAGCGCGCGGGGACGGGCAAAGAACAGTGACATTTAAAAAATACTTTAAAGTACTGAAGTGAGGGTACTGAATATTTAAACAGAACTAAAAGTGTGGACAGATAAAACTCCACTAGAGGTAAATAATTTATACACAGAAGAACAACAGCAAGCAATAGCATCTCCATGGAGACAAACAAGTGGCAGACACTCCACCAGAAAAGTTACATAGGGGTCCAGTCAAGCGGTAACAGGGGCATATTTTTGACATTCAAATGTCTCTTATTCAGAAACTAGAGGGATTATTGAAATAAATAAGGTATCAGAATGTAGGAAAGAGTTACACTCCAACAGGGTAAAGTTAAACCTGTGATATTCTTTCAAGTTCTTGACAAAAAATTTTAAACTCATGTCGATAACAGAGGGAATGAAATATGCAGCACTTTTTGGGCAATAAATCCAAACAGTGATAACTAGCGGTTCTTACTTACATATCCTTAACAAACTGGTTTGAATATTTGCTTCATATAGTTTTCTACCATATGGTACAAGATTATGTTGAAAAACCTCTTACTTTTTGAGTCATGAGATTTTTTATTAAGAAAGGTCATGGTAACGGAGGGAAAATTGTGCAAGTAGAAGGTGCATGATTTTACATAATTTGTTGCTTTTTTCTTCCAAATACTTTAATATTACTTCAAAATGAAAGGAAACTATTTCTATAAAATATGTCAGTCCTTCCAAGCAAATTTTTATCATTTTAAATACATTTTATTTGAAAAATCATGTACCTTCATCAACAGTTCAAAGATTGAATAACACAAGATATGATGAAATACATCCATGTATTGACATGATTTGCAGGTCTTTGAAATTTGGGAAATAATTTTTGTTCCATGTTTCATACATGGTCTGTTTAAAACGTATGGAACTTTAGAACCAAAAATGGTACAGAAAAAAGGTCTACAGTTTCATAAACTAGAGTACATATGTATCTGGTGAATACATTTTTATATTAGATGCATTAACTTGAATTTTTGGCCTTGCTGTTTACTTCTGTTTGAACGGGCCCATAGTGCAGCTTTAAATATATTTGTTTGTTTGTTTGTTTTTCAGGAGGACGACGGCTTGTACTGCCAGGAACAAATCAACAGGTCAGACATTTAACTTTTTTCATATGTTTTACAAATATAAAGTAAGAAAGAAGATATTTGGTGAACAAGTACTGAGCAGAGTAAAGTATCTTGTACTTGGGGATACTACCAACTTAAAAAAATAACTGTCAGGACATAATATCTGATTTATGATGTGAAGTGAATGTAATGTGAAGGACAAAATCTGGTATTTTCAAAGGACAGACACGAGAGCGATGTGAGAAACACAAATGTTCAAATCATTTCATATTGTTAGATGTTTAAATTTGTGCATTTCTCCGCAGATCTATTTACTGGGCGGATGGATACGTGTTTGTGTTCTCCATCACAGACTACAGCAGTTACCGCACGGTGCAGCCTCTTTACCAGCACGTGCGCCGCATCCACCCCTCCGGAAACATCCCCATCATCCTGGTACTTTCACCTTTTTACTGATCAAAGGGCTCATATTACGCTATTTTCTGATCTGTTCTAATGTTGTTTCCTCATCACAAACAGATCTGGAGTTGTGTTTTGTTTTATTCACACATATTTAACACTCAAACCCTGCATATTTAGGTTGAGTTCTTCTCTCAGACTAAAAACAGGAATTGCCCCACTGTGTTTTTAAACTCCACACACCTTCACTTGAATCATTTAGATCATTTCAGCCCTGGAATTGTCCGTCTCTACTGAACTATAGGTAAAAGGAGATGTTGGATTGAAAACTACCACTACATGACATCACAAGGTGGAAGAGAGCATTTTGAGCTTCAGAGATATGGACAGCCTCATAATGCAGGATTATTGATGATTAAAAATGATTGATTGATATGAATGATGAAATGATTAGTCTAACTAGTCTAGTCACATGCACTTTAAAGATCTACTATGTAACTTTTCTGATAAAGGGTCCGCCACCTGCTTGTTGGAATGGAGATGTTATTGCTTTGCCTGAAATGTTATACAGCAGATATGTCAAACTCAGGCCCGGGAGTCCACGATATAATTATATTTGGCCTGCGAGATCATATTAAATATGTATCAGAGCTGCCCGCTGGCTATAGATCGGCTATAGAGACATTATTTATATGAAATTTTGTTATTATCTCATATTATGTGTGTTCTGGATTCAATATTTAAGCAAAACTATTATTAAACATTTATTTCAATAAGAAAAGGTTTAACATTACATCTCTCAAAAGAAGAGAAAATATGCAGGTGCTGTTAAAAATTTTCATTAAATATTTAGTTTGGCCCACGACTTAGTCCCAGTTTTTAATTTTGGCGTCTGTGAATTTGAGTTTGACACCTTTGTTATACAGAATAGCATTAAAGATATCTGTCTCCGTGGAAACAAGTGAGCAACTCCACCAAACCATGTTCAAAGATCTGTGGAGAGGTGATTGCATTTATTTATTTAATATATATTTTCAAGGTATATTTTTTCAGATAAAACACAGCCATGGTTAAGTACAGCATCACAGTTTAAGTCACGTAAATGGGAAATTTCGGCCGTTATTCGTTTTTTTTTTTTTTTTTTTTTTTTTTTTTTTCAATTTGTTTTTGGAGACAAATAATAAAGAAAATAGTTGTTTTATCGTTTTGTTATTTTTGGTTTTATTTTGAAAAACGAATGACACACGGATTCTTCATTTTCCCGCTTTCTGACCCCTCCTCCCCCAGCTCTCTACAAGTGCAAATCAGTTTTGCCACATGCACTTCGCAAAATGTGTTGCAAAAGTCAAGGTGCGCAGATTTGAACCTGCTGGGACACATCTGAGAAGTCGCAGTCGCTGAATTGTGGTTGTATCTGTCATAATGGATGCAGATGTCCCTCTGTTCATGCAAATATCAATCTACACATTCATTCATATTTTTCTCCCGTGTGTAAAAATATTTTCCACAAGTGAAAATTTCAGTCCACAATTGCACACATTTTTTTCAAGCACTCATGTGTGTTTTTTTTCACCTTGACTGCAAATTCAACACACACGTATATGAAAATAGTTAATTACAAGTTCAAAGTTTTGAACATTCTCACATTATATTCTACAAGTTCTCAAATCAAGTTTATACGCTCTCTCATTTTGCCACATATTTACCTTCCTAAAGTACATACTGGATAGATATGTGCCATACTGTGGAACATTCCAAGCACAAATGTTTTCACATAGAAAACAGGCAGCAGATTCGCCACTAGAAAAGTTACACAGTGCACCTTTAAGGACCAGTCAGTGCCTCGTGTTCAGATGACCTCATGACCCCAGATTGACCCTAATCCCTCTAATCCTGTGTGTGTCTCTCAGGTCGGGAACAAGAGCGACCTGCTGCGAGCGCGACAGGTGTCCGCTGACGACGGAGAGACGCTCGCCACCACGCTAGGTCCGCCATCTTTGCTCCTTCTTCTCTTTTTTTAGTTTTAGTTTTAGCCGTAGACTGTATAAAGAAAGCAGTTACAGCGTCTAATCTGCAGCCAGGAACCATACTTGGAAATCCGAGTGCAGGTGTCATAGCAACTAAACATCCAATCAGGAGTGAGGCTGTTGAAGGTAAAGCCCCTTCCCATAGCAGCGCTGTCAATCAAACCTGTTGCCAACAAGAGTGAGGGCAACCTCGGGGAAAGAAGACCCCTGATTATGTCTGTTATTAATGTTCATATCTTGATTTACCGGACAAAATAGTGAAATAAAAACACCAGGATCACGTAGAACGGCCTAATACAGGTATTTTAAGACCAAAATAATAAAATAAAACAACAAAACAACTCAGCAGATACAGAGAGCGGGGACACAAATTTTCAATAGAATGTGAATTGGAACCAGAGTCTATGGAGCCAAATCACAGCCATGCTCACTTCCTATTTGGAATGTGGCAACTGGCAGGTTAACTTTGTCCACATATATATACATTCTATGGTTTAAAACACTTCTGAAAACAATATTTTAGCAAAGAAGACGATGAGAATTTATTTAAAACATACAGTTTGATACATATTTAGAGTGCACACAACACACAGATTAAAATACCACAGTAAATAAAACAATTAACTTGATCATTTGAAAGGAAAAGATCATTTTAAATCATTTCATTACATTATTTGAACTGGTAAAAGATTCTGTTGTGCATGTTCATCAGTCTAAATTCCTCCATGTCCATTAGTTTTCTGTTTTGTAAAAACAATAGAGATAACTCCTCTTTAGCACATTTCACTGTGTAAGATTCCTGTATTTCTCTTTTTCTACTTGAGGTCTGAGCTGAGAGCGAGTCACTCTTATCTGAGCTCTAAATACTGCCGCTGTTTAATGAGAGAGGAATGTTGTTATCTGCACAGCCACTTTAAAGTGTAACTGTGCAGAGGAGGTATGTTAAAGTGTAACTGTGTAGAGGAGGATTTTAAAGTGTGACTGTGTAGAGGAGGATTTTAAAGTGTGACTGTGCAGAGGAGGATTTTAAAGTGTGACTGTGTAGAGGAGGATTTTAAAGTGTGACTGTGCAGAGGAGGATTTTAAAGTGTGACTGTGCAGAGGAGGATTTTAAAGTGTGACTGTGCAGAGGAGGATTTTAAAGTGTGACTGTGCAGAGGAGGATTTTTAAAGTGTGACTGTGACTGTGCAGAGGAGGATTTTAAAGTGTGACTGTGTAGAGGAGGATTTTAAAGTGTGACTGTGCAGAGGAGGATTTTAAAGTGTGACTGTGCAGAGGAGGATTTTTAAAGTGTGACTGTGCAGAGGAGGATTTTAAAGTGTGACTGTGCAGAGGAGGATTTTTAAAGTGTGACTGTGTAGAGGAGGATTTTAAAGTGTGACTGTGTAGAGGAGGATTTTAAAGTGTGACTGTGTAGAGGAGGATTTTAAAGTGTGACTGTGTAGAGGAGGATTTTAAAGTGTGACTGGTAGAGGAGGATTTTTAAAGTGTGACTGTGCAGAGGAGGATTTTAAAGTGTGACTGTGCAGAGGAGGATTTTTAAAGTGTGACTGTGTGTTCAGGACACGAATAACACACTTTAAAGGAGACTTTTTGGAGCAGTTTAACCATGACGTTATAGTTGTATTTTGGTGTATTCCCCATTCCCTGGGTTAGACCTGCTGCTGCAAGATTAATGGAGCTCAATAGAGACTGCTCCAATTTTGTATAATTTTTTTTCACTTTCCAAAAAAAAAAAAAAAAATCTGTCTGAAGGGACAGATATAAGGCAGGGTCGGTCTAACCACACATAGCAACATGGATTCTCGAGATATTTGTAAGTTCATAGCTCATGAGAATCCATCTTGACATGTGCCTGCTGTACGGATAATTTGGTGGGCAACCAATCAGGTCGCAGCGTTGAGGTTTGTGCAGAAGCCAAAGGTGAAGCGCCCAAACAAGCTAAAACAAATATGGAAACACCAACAGATGTATTTCAGACAATTTAAGTGTCAATACTACAGGACTATTTGGATTTTTGGATTTTTTATTTTGGATGCTACTTGAATAACTGCGGGATTAACCAGATAATACCCCCTGTTTAATGACATAACTGTGTGTGTCCATCAGGGGGAGTGTACTTTGAGACGTCAGCGCGAGAAAACCACCACAGCGTCCACAGCGCCTTCCTGCATCTGTGTCAAGAGGTGAGAGGTCACTCGTTTAGGCTCTTTTTTGTTTTGCTGTAAACTATTATAAAGTAAAAATCTATTATTAAAATGATCTCGTGAAAGTCTTTGATGATAAAGGTTTGTGTTGTTTCAGGTGATCCGCTCCTTTGGTTCTGGAAACGGAGAGAAGCGCCGCGGAGGGCTTCATTTAGCACGACCCAAGTCTCCGAACATGCAGGAACTTAAGAGGAGGTTCAGACAGGTGCTCTCGTCTAAAGTCAAGTCTGCACCCACGCTATGATCCAACACGCAACCAAAATGTGCCCAGAACATAGCCAAAAACGGACCCAAAACTCACCCCTCTGAACTAAAGAAAAGGTTCAGACAAGTGCCCTCGTCTAAAGTCAAGTCTGCAACAACGCTGTGGTCTGAAACACAACAGAAAGGCAACCAAAACTCACCCAAAATGTGCCTAGAATATAACCAAAAACTCACCCCTCTGAACTAAAGAGGATGTTCATGTCTGCCTCCACGCTGCCACCCAAAAACAATCAAAGCTTAACCGAAAAGCACTCAAATCTTACCCAGAATATAGCCAAAAACTGACCCAAAACTCCCTTATCTGCTGCAGTGATGTAGTGGGGATTTTTGAAGTGGGGGTGATTCGTGACGTCATCGATGTGACACCTCCCCTCAGAATGGTGTGGAATTATGTTATTAACACTAACGCCATTCAGAATCACCTACAGAGCATAAAGCACAGGATGCAACACCTGACCCAGGACTGAACCAGGACTTAAACAGGACTAAACCAGGTCTAAACCAGGACTAAAATAGGACTGAACTAAGACTGAACCGAGACTGAACCAGGACTAAACCAGGTCTAAATCAGGACTGAACCAAGACTGAACCAGGTCTAACCAGTTCTAAACCAGGACTAAAGTAGGACTGAACTCGGACTGAATCAGAACTAAACCAGGTCTAAGCCAAGACTGAACCAAGACTGAACCAGGACTAAACCAGGTCTAAAACAAGCCTGAACCAAGACTGAACCAGGTCTAAACTAGGACTAAACCAGAACTGAACCAGCACTAAACCAGTACTAAACCAGAACTGAACCAGGACTAAACCAGGACTAATTTTGGACTTGAGAGTGAGAGAGATCCTCAAGCCCGTGGAGCAGGATGTCCGCAAAGCGCGATTGGGCAACAGCTACACTCAGCTCGGCATTGGTCCTTTTTCCTGCGGTCACCCAACGGTCAACACGGGCGCATCTCCGGGCCCGTCCCGACACTCAGTCCTGGTTCAGTCCTGGTTTAGTCCTGGTTTAGACCTGGTTTAGACCTGGTTCAGTCCTGGTTCAGTCCTGGTCCCTCATGTTGCAGGTCACTTTAGGACAGTACTGGAGATGTCTTAAACCTATGCAGGTTGTTTTCATCCTTGCCAGTAGCTCCAGTTTGACATTTAAGTTGTAGCTATTTTATATTTGTTATTTTTTTATATCTCACATCGGGAGAAGTGGTTGGACAGTGTACCCCGCGTCCAACCCCCACTACACCCCTGCTCATCTGAACTAAAGAGGAGGTTCAGACAAGTGTTTTCAACTATAATCAAGTCCGCACCAAACTGTGGAAGTATAATAAGCTCTGGAAGATGATCCAAAGATGGATTTGTGTTGGGTTCAGTAGCCTGAGTTCATTGACGTGAAATCCACCCTAAAATATTTTCTTCCTCATTACTTCCTCAATATTGGCCTTCTGTTAATGGGACAACAGAAACGTGCACCATGAGATCAGTTCTACCCAAAAACTGACCCAAAATCACACTCACACCAGACACCATGGGACCTGCCCGGACACAGCGTTACAGTAGAGATTTTGTGTTTTCATCTGATTAAAAAAAAAAAAACTTTCTCTGTGTTTTTAAAGTTCATGCACTAAACTTGTTACGCTACAGATGCCTGCGTTTGTTTGTGTCTTGCTCAAGGACATAACATCCGCCTGCACTGGTCGCCGCTGGGATCAAAAGCCTGAATAAATCTGCCTTTTGGACTTTTAAATACTTAAAATATAATTAAAGTGCATCTCAACCCCTCTTCAGGAACTTTTTTCTGGTTAAAGAGGAGCCACATTAATGCGCTATCAATCAAAGGGTTGGACACACGTTTCCATGTATGTTCTTCTTTATTTCTATGATTATTTACATTGTAGTTTCTCACTAAAGGCATCAAAACTATAAACGGACAAATATGGAATGTAGTAACTCAGAATAACTCAGAATTTTTTAAATAATATCCACCCTTTGCTTTGAACTCGGTTTGCACTTTTGGTATTCCTTGACCCTGAAGCACAGCTGTGAAGTGAAAACCATTTCAGGAGACTTTATCATGAAGCTCACTGAGAGAAGGTCAGGGGTTTGCAGCTGTCGGATTAAACCAGGACTGAACCAGAAATAAACCAGGACTGAACCAGGAACTAAACCAGGTCTAAACCAGGACTGAACCAGGACTGAACCAGGTCTAAACCAGGTCTAAACCAGGTCTAAACCAGGACTGAACCAGGACTGAACCAGGACTGAACCAGGACTAAACCAGGTCTAAACTCAGGACTGAACCAGGTCTAAATCAGGACTGAACCAGGTAAACCAGGACTAAACCAGATCTAAACCAGGACTGAACCAGGACTGAACCAGGTCTAAACCAGGACTCAACCAGGTCTAAACCAGGACTGAACTAAGACTGAACCAGGTCTAAACCAGGACCAAAGGAAAACGTAAAAAATACATTTAAAAAAAATGTTGTTTAGTGACCTAATTTTTTTCCTTTTCTACTTCATTCCATATATCTTGCATCATATCTTTCTATAATATAAAAAGTAAAATAAAAAACATGAGATGGTGTGTCCAAACCTTTGACTGGTAGTGTGTCCTTGTAGTTTGAGCATCAGATCTGAGTTTGATTTTGATACTTTTGTACAAATGTTTTTAATGTTTACAATAAAAATCAGAATCTCTGTCTGAGCTTCCTTCTGGAAACACAAAAACAGGACGTGACCTTTAAGTGGAGAATGTGAGGTCAAAGGGACGGTTTTCTGAGCGGAAACGTGGAATTTGACCTGCATTTTTTATAGGCTTTTTCTGTTGTACTTTTCATGTTACAATGTTGTTACCTCACCACAAACACTTTTGTTTCATTCACACATGTTTGAGTAATCCTTTATTATTATTTACACCTCCAAAGTTCAAAATGCTCTGTTCCACCTTGTGATGTCATGAAGCGGTAGTTGTGAAGTTAACAGTTACCTTTTATCTTAAGTTCAGTAGAGATCAGCAGTTCCAAATCTGAAATGATCTGAATGATTCTAGTGAAGGTGTATGGAGTTTAAAAACAGTAGTGCAATGACACATGACATCACAAGGTAGAGCAGAGTATTTTCAGTGAAAAAATCAGCCTAAATATGCAGGATTTGGTTGTTAAATGTGTGAATGAAACAAAACTCAACTCCAGGTCTGTTTGTGACAAGGAAACATTACAGAAAAGTGTATTATTGCCTTTATTGTTTAATTAATGTTATTCCAATGAACTAAACTAAAGTAACTCAAGTGTGGCAGTGCTGCTCTCTGCTTTTCCAGTCAGAGAATAAAAACATTTCAAACTCGATTTCAATATTAAAAGTGCGTTGCGCAACTTTTTTGGTGGAGGACCCGTCAAATGCTTTTCTCCACAGTTTCACAGTATGGGCTTAAACCTTTCTATCTTTAAGGAGACCAAACCAGAACAAGTTACAGGTCAGAGCTGTGGAGAAGTGACCCCGCTCACAGTCAGACTACTGTATTTTCCACACTATTGGGCGCGCTCATAAGCCTCCAACCCCATCAAAAAACGACCCCACAATCCAGAGCGCCCTATACACGAATCCACTTGGGTGTCCCAGCACGACTTCAGTAACAGACAGCGACCGCGCAACGGCAAACACCCGCAGCCACACTCATCACTACTCCATGCGGACGAGGAACGGAACGGAGGAACGAACTGAAAAAGCGAGTGCAACGTGCCACTTCTAGACGCAACTGAACAACTGAGTCACTGCGAACACGCCGACAATCCAGAGGTCCCAGACAGCACCCTCCCTACACGCCACAACGGAACAAACACGAGCATCACCGTGAACGCGCCAAACAAAGTCCCACTGACCCATCCAACTGTTGTGTTTTGTTTAAAGTTCGGTGCGGTTTATTTGTGAAAAAAGTTTGAAAATAGACCATTTAATGACAGTGCGCCTTATAGTGCAGAAAATACGGTACCTGTTTTTCTATTTATTTTTGAGCTATAAAACCACCTGTAATTGAACAAATGTAAGGTAGAGCTGTTTAATGTCACACTGTGGAACATTCCAGGCAGAGCAATGACATCTCCATGGAAACAAGCAGGTGACAGACCCCCAACCAAAAAGTTACATAGTGCACCTTTAAGAAATAGACTCGATACTGAATACGATTAAATACAAAATACGAAAATAAAATACTAATACTAGTACTAATATCAGACTTTTGGAGCTAAAAGTTTATGAAAATGAAATGTAAAAGGCATCTAAGTCATCTGTTTTGCTCTCCTTCTTTTAATTTCTCTTCTCTCTTTCTCTTTATCCTCTCATCTCCCTTTTCTTCCCCTTCACACTTCTCCCTCTATCTCTCCCATCTTTTTCTCTCCATTCTTTTTCTCTCGTCTCTCTCCTGAGGCAGATTCCTGGTTTTACTCCTCTCTTTCTCCCCCGACTACTCGACCTGTCACTCTCACCTATGACCTGCGCACTCACTCCTCACTCAGAGGTCAGGGGTCAAAGGTCAGAGTGGAGCAGAGCGTATTATTATGTCATAAATATTTGCTTTTAGTGATGAAGAATGAAGCAATGACGTGTTTTTGTTTTTTTTTTTCGTTTTTTGTACGGTTGGGTTGCCAAAAATTTGGTACTCAGACATTGATACTAAAACTAGCATCAAAACGAGAGAAGTAGGTCAGTCACGAAAAGGAACATTTGGACTTCTCCTGAATAGTTTTACAATCGTGTTTTTGATCTCAGTCAGAGGAATTTTAAAGCAGACCTATAGTGCTTGTGTCTGCTAAAACTACTTCGGTGCATTATGTAACTTTTCAGTTGGGGCTCGTCACCTGCTTGTTTCTATGGATATGTCATTGCTCAGCTTTGAGTGTTCCAGGGTGACATTAAACAGCTCTACACTGCAAATTTCTGTGGTCTGGCCAAGATTTTGAAAACTTATATCAGTTTATTCATCTTGTTTTCAGATTTATTATTTACTTACTAGTTCTGAGACTGCTTCATTCTAGTTTAGAGGTCGTTTATTTTAAGATAACTTGTGAAGTAAAATTATCTTGCTGCATGGACAGATAATGTCACTACTTTTAAGTCATTTTCTGATAGATTTAAATGTTTATATCTTAAATTAACTTAAATTAAGCTTTTTGCAGTTTACTTTACATTTATTCAGTTACAGGTGATTTTATAGCTTGCTTCAATACCTAAAAAAAAACATTCTGACTGTGAGCGGGGTCGCCTCTGCACAGATCTGACCTGTAACTTGGTCTGGATTTGTCTCCATGATGATAGAAAGGTTTAACTCACACTGTGAAAAAAATTGATAAAGCAGTAACATCTCTATAAAGAAACGCACTGACGCACCCTCCACAAGAAAAGTTACACAATACACTTTTTTTTTTTTTAAATTTCATTTGCAACATGCAACATGCAACATGCACACT